ACACCCAGGATGTGACCCACACCAGTCCACTAACACCCAGGATGTGACCCACACCAGTCAACTAACACCCAGGATGTGACCCACACTAGTCCACTAACACCCAGGATGTGACCCACACCAGTCCACTAACACCCAGGATGTGACCCACACCAGTCCACTAACACCCAGGATGTGACCCACACCAGTCCACTAACACCCAGGATGTGACCCACACCAGTCCACTAACACCCAGGATGTGACCCACACCAGTCCACTAACACCCAGGATGTGACCCACACCAGTCCACTAACACCCAGGATGTGACCCACACTAGTCCACTAACACCCAGGATGTGACCCACACCAGTCCACTAACACCCAGGATGTGACCCACAACCAGTCCACTAACACCCAGATGTGACCCACACCAGTCCACTAACACCCAGGATGTGACCCACACCAGTCCACTAACACCCAGGATGTGACCCACACCAGTCCACTAACACCCAGGATGTGACCCACACCAGTCCACTAACACCCAGGATGTGACCCACACCAGTCCACTAACACCCAGGATGTGACCCACACCAGTCCACTAACACCCAGGATGTGACCCACACCAGTCCACTAACACCCAGGATGTGACCCACACCAGTCCACTAACACCCAGGATGTGACCCACACCAGTCCACTAACACCCATGATGTGACCCACACCAGTCCACTAACACCCATGATGTGACCCACACCAGTCCACTAACACCCAGGATGTGACCCACACCAGTCCACTAACACCCAGGATGTGACCCACACCAGTCCACTAACACCCAGGATGTGACCCACACCAGTCCACTAACACCCAGGATGTGACCCACACTAGTCCACTAACACCCAGGATGTGACCCACACCAGTCCACTAACACCCAGGATGTGACCCACACCAGTCCACTAACACCCAGGATGTGACCCACACCAGTCCACTAACACCCAGGATGTGACCGACACCAGTCCACTAACACCCAGGATGTGACCCACACCAGTCCATTAACACCCAGGATGTGACCCACACCAGTCCACTAACACCCAGGATGTGACCCACACCAGTCCACTAACACCCAGGATGTGACCCACACCAGTCCACTAACACCCAGGATGTGACCCACACCAGTCCACTAACACCCAGGATGTGACCCACACCAGTCCACTAACACCCAGGATGTGACCCACACCAGTCCACTAACACCCAGGATGTGACCCACACCAGTCCACTAACCCAGGATGTGACCCACACCAGTCCACTAACACCCAGGATGTGACCCACACCAGTCCACTAACACCCAGGTTGTGACCCACACCAGTCCACTAACACCCAGGATGTGACCCACACCAGTCCACTAACACCCAGGATGTGACCCACACCAGTCCACTAACACCCAGGATGTGACCCACACCAGTCCACTAACACCCAGGATGTGACCCACACCAGTCCACTAACACCCAGGATGTGACCCACACCAGTCCATGTAGGGAGACACTGGTCAGAGAAATAGCAAACATCGAACTTAAGCTAAAGGAATCTTATAGGAGTCAGGAATCGCGGGAAGAACTAAAAGCCATAAATGAAATCGAAAGAAACCCAAAGTATTTCTTCTCCTATGCCAAATCAAAGTCAAGAACAACGTCCAGTATTGGGCCCCTACTTAAACAAGATGGGTCCTACACAGATGACAGCAAGGAAATGAGTGAGCTACTCAAGTCCCAATATGACTCAGTTTTTAGCAAGCCACTAACCAGACTGAGAGTCGAAGATCAAAATGAATTTTTTATGAGAGAGCCACAGAATTTGGTTAACACAAGCCTATCTGATGTTATCCTGACGCCAAATGACTTCGAACAGGCGATAAATGACATGCCCATGCACTCTGCCCCAGGTCAGACTCATGGAACTCTGTGTTCATCAAGAACTGCAAGAAGCCCCTATCACGAGCCTTTTCCATCCTATTGAGAGGGAGCATGGACACGGGGGTCGTCCCACAGTTGCTAAAAACAACAGACATAGCCCCACTCCAAAGGGGGCAGTAAAGCAACAGCAAAGAACTACAGACCGATAGCACTAACATCCCATATCATAAAAAATCTTTGAAAGGTCCTAAGAAGCAAGATCACCACCCATCTAGAAACCCATCAGTTACACAACCCAGGGCAACATGGGTTTAGAACAGGTCGCTCCTGTCTGTCTCAACTATTGGATCACTACGACAAGGTCCTAGATGCACTAGAAGACAAAAAGAATGCAGATGTAATATATACAGACTTTGCAAAAGCCTTCGACAAGTGTGACCATGGCGTAATAGCGCACAAAATGCGTGCTAAAGGAATAACAGGAAAAGTCGGTCGATGGATCTATAATTTCCTCACTAACAGAACACAGAGAGTAGTAGTGAACAGAGTAAAGTCCGAGGCAGCTACGGTGAAAAGCTCTGTTCCACAAGGCACAGTACTCGCTGCCATCTTGTTCCTCATCCTCATATCTGACATAGACAAGGATGTCAGCCACAGCACCGTGTCTTCCTTTGCAGATGACACCCGAATCTGCATGACAGTGTCTTCCATTGCAGACACTGCAAGGCTCCAGGCGGACATCAACCAAATCTTTCAGTGGGCTGCAGAAAACAATATGAAGTTCAACGATGAGAAATTTCAATTACTCAGATATGGTAAACACGAGGAAATTAAATCTTCATCAGAGTACAAAACAAATTCTGGCCACAAAATAGAGCGAAACACCAACGTCAAATACCTGGGAGTGATCATGTCGGAGGATCTCACCTTCAAGGACCATAACATTGTATCAATCGCATCTGCTAGAAAAATGACAGGATGGATAATGAGAACCTTCAAAACGAGGGATGCCAAGCCCATGATGACACTCTTCAGGTCACTTGTTCTATCTAGGCTGGAATATTGCTGCACACTAACAGCACCTTTCAAGGCAGGTGAAATTGCTGACCTAGAAAATGTACAGAGAACCTTCACGGCGCGCATAACGGAGATAAAACACCTCAATTACTGGGAGCGCTTGAGGTTCCTGAACCTGTATTCCCTGGAACGCAGGAGGGAGAGATACATGATTATATATATACCTGGAAAATCCTAGAGGGACTAGTACCGAACTTGCACACGAAAATCACTCACTACGAAAGCAAAAGACTTGGCAGACGATGCAACATCCCCCCAATGAAAAGCAGGGGTGTCACTAGCCTCCCAGCATACATAAGGGGGATTACCAACAGACCCCTGGCAGTCTTCAAGCTGGCACTGGACAAGCACCTAAAGTCGGTACCTGACCAGCCGGGCTGTGGCTCGTACGTTGGTTTCCGTGCAGCCAGCAGTAACAGCCTGGTTGATCAGGCTCTGATCCACCAGGAGGCCTGGTCACAGACTGGGCCGCGGGGGCGTTGACCCCCGGAACTCTCTCCAGGTAAACTGACACCCAGGATGTGACCCACACCAGTCCACTGACACCCAGGATGTGACCCACACTAGTCCACTAACACCCAGGATGTGACCCACACCAGTTCACTAACACCCAGGATGTGACCCACACCAGTCCACTAACACCCAGGATGTGACCCACACCAGTCCACTAACACCCAGGATGTGACCCACACTAGTCCACTAACACCCAGGATGTGATCCACACCAGTCCACTAACACCCAGGATGTGACCCACACCAGTCCACTAACACCCAGGTACCTATTTTACTGATGGGGAACATAGAAACCCGTTGTAAGTTAGTTAAATGTTTATTATGCACACACACCAATCCTGTGGGAGGTAGTCAAAAAGATTACAGAGGTACACAATGGGTCCAGGAACTATATCCCAAAGTTATGATACCTGAGCAAGTTACAAAGGTACTGAACTCCAGGTAGATCTGGTCACAATCATGGCAAGTTACAAAGGTATTTACAGGTTACAGAGGTACATAATGGGTCCAGGGACTGGGCCCCAAGGAAACATGTCGAGTGTTCTCACCCTCACTGGGAATCGAACCCGGACACTCGCCTTGTGAAGCGAGAGTTTTAACCACCAGGCCACGGGCCACTGTGGCCTGGTGGCACGGGCCACTGTGGCCTGGTGATACATTAATTACTAATAAAAATAAATACCATCCATCACATAGAGATAAATAATGATATAATTCCAGATAATAAAGTGTCTCAGTTGACTGCTGTTACAACACAAGATAAACCCAAAATAAACATTATTACTAAATAAATATAAACACCATCTATTACAAATAGATAATAAACCAGAGTAGATATAATCCCGGGTTTAATATGTATAATAATAAGGTATTTAAAGGACCCCAATGGAAATAAGTCACTCAAATTCTTTTGGTTTTGGCTGGCTAACCCACCAGAGTTAAAAAACCGTAGAATATCTTATCTCATACTTTAATAAAGTTACTTACTTAAGGTGGCAGCCTGGGGGACAAAATTGAGGACCCAAAACTGAAGTAAGACAGCCAGTCCTGGATGACTCACTGACTTTTTTGGATTATCTAATCTAGCTAACCCCCCAAAATTAAAAATCCGTAGAATATCTTATCTTAAACACGGATAAAATTACTTATTAAGCGTGGCATCCTAGGGGACAAAATTCCAAATCAAAACTGAAATAAGACACCCAGTCCTGGATGCCCCACTAACTTTTTTGGATTATCTAAACTAGCTAACCCCCTAAAATTAAAAATCCGTAGTATATCTTATCTTAAACACGGATAAAATTACTCATTAAGTGTTGCATCCTGGGGGACAAAATTCCAAACCAAAACTGAAAAAAGACACCCAGTCCTGGATGCCCCACTAACTTTTTTGAATTATCTAATCTAGCTAACCCCCCAAAATAAAAAATCTCCCCAAAAACCAGAGAGTTACCAAAGAGTCTCATTTGACATTAGTTATTCTAACACAGGATAGATGGCGTTGATGTGTGTGACGTCACCATGAAGGGAAAATTGGCTTTGTCCTCTGAAGTTGTCAGACGGTGAACTGTGCTCAGTGTCCTCTCCTCAAACTTTTAATACCAAAGTTACTTTTTATTTGTACTATGAGTAATGTACCCACCCACAATGGAGTAGGTCTAGAGCGGCAGGTGAGCATAATGGCGTGTGTGGGGGAGATGGTGGAGAGGAGAGAGAGGGAGAAGAGATGGAGAGGTGGTGGTGATGGCTGTCAGCTGGACGCTTCTCCATCACTCTCCCCCCCTTACCTCCATATCTCTCTTATTTCTCCTCTCATGCTCCTCATAATTTGGGTTTCAGGCGGCTGGGTTACACCCTGTGGGGTTTTGCCCCCTTAGGGGGTGTGCGCCCCCCTAAGGGGCACTTATTTCCCTGATTAAATTGAAATAAGAGGAGCTGACCCCCCCAGCCGCCAGCTGACAATCCAATCAATTCTAGTGAGTCTCAGGTGCGCCAGGCTGATATTCCTGACGGTGGGCACCTCTGGTACCTGTCTACTACACCTACTTCCTCTACGCACCTACCTACACCTAATTACCAGCCCAGGAGATGAATTAGAGCCCCAGAAATAAGATGGAAGCCGCTGGTCGTCACTACTGGGCTGTGGAGGCGGCGGTGCGGACCAACCTATTTTTCCTCTATTTTCTCCATTTTTACCTTGTATTTTGACCCCCTGGTGTGCAGGGCAATGTATTTTCTTTCTAAATTACTTTGTATGTTATGGGGGGTGATATGTGGGGGTGGGGAGGTATATTAGGGGGTAATATAGGGGTGAAGGGGGTTTAGTTACGACAGAATCCGCTAGGAGCGCTTTTAATTTTTTTTTCACGTGTTTTAACTTGGTTTATATAGCACCATCTGGGTTTACATTCAAGCCAACTGTTGTTAAACCACGTGGGTTTATGTGTAGACCAATATTACACCACCTGGGTTTATATATAAATTGTTTCACCACGTGGGTTTATATTTAAACCTGTATGGCAACCTAGGTTCATATTACACCTGGGTTTACACGCAAACCAATATTATACCACGTGGGTTTACCTGTAAGCCAGTATTATACCACGTGGGTTTACCTGTAAACCAATATTATACCACGTGGGTTTACCTGTAAACCAGTATATCACGTGGGTTTACCTGTAAGCCAGTATTATACCACGTGGGTTTACATGTAAACCAATATTATACCACGTGGGTTTATATGTAAACAAATATACCATGTGGGTTTACATGTAAACAAATATAGCACGTGGGTTTACATGTAAACAAATATTATACCATGTGGGTTTACATGTAAACCAATATTATATCATGTGGGTTTACATGTAAACCAATATTATACCACGTGGGTTTACATGTAAACAAATATTATACCATGTGGGTTTACATGTAAACCAATATTATACCACGTGGGTTTACATGTAAACAAATATTATACCATGTGGGTTTACATGTAAACAAATATACCACGTGGGTTTACATGTAAACAAATATACCATGTGGGTTTACATGTAAACAAATATTATACCATGTGGGTTTACATGTAAACAAATATTATACCATGTGGGTTTACATGTAAACCAATATTATACCACGTGGGTTTACATGTAAACAAATATACCATGTGGGTTTACATGTAAACCAATATTATATCATGTGGGTTTACATGTAAACAAATATACCATGTGGGTTTACATGTAAACAAATATTATACCATGTGGGTTTACATGTAAACCAATATTATACCATGTGGGTTTACATGTAAACCAATATTATACCATGTGGGTTTACATGTAAACAAATATACCATGTGGGTTTACATGTAAACCAATATTATATCATGTGGGTTTACATGTAAACAAATATTATACCATGTGGGTTTATATGTAAACCAATATTATACCATGTGGGTTTATATGTAAACCAATATTATACCATGTGGGTTTATATGTAAACCAATATTATACCATGTGGGTTTATATGTAAACCAATATTATACCATGTGGGTTTATATGTAAACCAATATATCACATGGGTTTACATGTAAACCAATGTTACACCTGGCCTCGCATGTAAACCAGTATTACACCAACTGGGTTTACTTGTAAACCAATATTACACCTATTATATTTAAACCAATATTATCACCTGGGTTTATAAGAACACAAGAACTTTATATTTAAACTTAGACCATCTGGGTTTATATTTAAACCATTACTCCACCTGGGGTTACATTACATCACATGGGTTTATATTTAAACCAACATTGCTCCACATGGGTTTATATTGCACCATCTTGGTTTAGTGCCATCTTGGTTTATTACATGATCTGTAATTACACTATGCCACATGTGTTTTTATTACACTTCCTGGGTTTATATTACACTGGGTTTATATTATGCTTCTGGGGTTTATATCACACTTCTGGGATTTGTATTACACTGCTTGGGTTTATACACTCTGGGTTTATATTACACTTGTGGGTTTATATCACTGCCTGGGTTTATATTATATCTGGGTTTTATTACACCACATGATTTGCATTATAAAGATTTGGTTATGTTTTTTTTTTTTTAATTACTCCTGGGTTATATTAAACCTCACATAATTTATCTGTTAAACCTATAGAATTCTTTTGCCTTCAAAACCATTGTAAGATAAGATTTTGTGTTAACTAATAAGGATAACCCAAAAAGACAGTGCGTCATCGAGGGACTGTGTCTTATTTCCATTGGGATCCTCGTTCTTATTCCCCAGGATGCGACCCACACCAGTTCACTAACACTTAGGTACCTGTTTGCTTGCTAGGTGAAATGGACAGCAGGTGTAAGAAAATATGCCCAATGTTTTGACCTTTAAGAACATAAGAAAGAAAGAACACTGCAGCAGGCCTTCTGGCCCATGCAAAGCAGGTCCAAGTCACCTATCGGCCTAAGCCATTGACCCAAGCTAGTCAGGTCTTGGTCACATCCACTTAAGAAGGAAGGAACACTGCATCAGACCCACTAGCACAAGCTAGTTGGCTCCAACTCTCACCCACTCACACCTACTCTTCTATTTCTCTAACCTATTTTTAAAGCTACACAACGTATTAGCTTCAGTGATGGTACTCGGGAGTTCATTCCACTCATCTACAACTCTATTACCAAACCAGTGTTGGGATTAAGCCACGGTACTCAGCATGTGAGGCACAAGCATTGCCAACCAGGCCACGGGCCACCCTGCAAACTTAATCTTAAAATTCATTTAGACTTTCTGAATAAAGCTCATCTTAGCCCAGTACTATAGTTTTTATTTAAATTTTTTCTAAGCCTTTATGCAACACTGTATATATAGTCTCAGTATGTCCTGAGTCCTGGTAGGCACTGGTTTGATCCCCAGCACATATGGAAACACTGGGGTGGGTCTCCTTACACCTGTTGTCCCCATTCACCTGGCAAGCAAATAGGTACCTGGGTGTTAGTGGACTGGGGTAGGTGGCATTCTTGGGGACAAGATTGAAGGACCCCAATTGAAATAAGCCAGACAGACCCTCAATGATGCACATCCTTTCTTGGGCTGACTTGGGTGGCTAATTCCCCAGGGTTTAAAATCCAAGCAAAATCTTATGTCTTGTATTTTTTATATGGTGCATTTAAATTCAAATGTTTACTACAGCTCACATTGAGCCAGTAAAGCACCTAAACTACTGGGAACGCCTGCAAGTTTTGAACATGTACTCATTGCAGCGGAGGAGAGAGAGAGGTACATGATAATATATACCTGGAAAGATAAGATAAGATTTCGTTCGGATTTTTAACCCTGGAGGGTTAGCCACCCAGGATAACCCAAGAAAGTCAATGCGAACCAAGAAAGTCAGTGCGTCATCGAGGACTGTCTAACTTATTTCCATTGGGGTCCTTAATCTTGTCCCCCAGGATGCGACCCACACCAGTCGACTAACACCCAGGTACCTATTTGCTGCTAGGTGAACAGGACAACAGGTGTAAGGAAACGTGTCGAAATGTTTCCACCTGCCGGGAATCGAACCTGGGCCCTCAGTGTGTGAAGCAGGAACTTTAGCCACCAGGCCACCAGGGGCTTGGTCCCAAATCTGCACACTTCCATAACAACATACTGGAGTGAGAGATATGGGAGGAAGTGTAAAATAAACCCAGTGAGGAGCAGGGGTGTGGTGGGGACAATAAGGGAACACTGTATCAACATCCGTGGACCAAGACTGTTCAACATCTTACCAGAAGATATCAGAAACACTGCTGGAACAAGTGTAGAAGTCTTCAAGAGGAAACTGGACAAGCATCTTCAGGTGCCTGATCAACCAGGCTCTGATGGATATGTGGGGCAGCGGGCCGCCAGCAGCAACAGCCTGTTTGACCAGGCAAGCACCAGACGAGCCTGGCCCATGGCCGGGCTCAGAGAGTAGATAAACTCTCGAAACTCTTCAAAGGTATATATCTACACATATTATACAGAGCATCATTATAGTGGACATCATTTTTGTTTCTAGTTTATTTGAATCTTTGTAGGTTTGTATCCTTCCTATATACAGTACAGCCTCTCCTCACGTAACGGCTTAGTTCCGTTCCTAAGACCACATCGGTAAATGAATTCGTCGCTAAGTGAGGAGCATGCTCTAATGGTAATTGGTTTGTATCAACCATCTTGGATATTGTTTTAAGGTCACCTTTGCACAATTTCCTATGAGGATGGACTGAGGCCCTGAATCTGCGCACTCTAGAAAGGCGTAGAATTAGGGGGGATATGATTGAGGTATATAAATGGAAAGGAGGAATAAATGAAGGAGATGTAAATAGCTTGCAAAAAATATCTAGCCAAGAAAGAACTCGCAGCAATGGTTTTAAGTTTGAAAAATTCAGATTCAGGAAGGATATAGGAAAGTACTTGTATGGTAATAGAGTTGTGGATGAGTGGAACTAACTCTCTAGTACTGTCATAGAGACTAAAACATGTACAGTGGACCCCCGCTTTACGATCAGCTCCCAGTGCGACCAATTATGTAAGTGTATTTATGTATGTGCGTTTGTACGTGTATGTTTGGGGGTCTGAAATGGACTAATCTACTTCACAATATTCCTTATGGGAACAAATCCGTTCAGTACTGGCACCTGCACATACTTCTGGAATGAAATAATGTCGTAAACTGGGGGTCCACTGTAGTTTTAAAAATAGGTTAGATAAATATGAGTGGGTGGGCGTGAATTGGACCTGACTAGGTTGTCATTGGCTTAAGCCGGTAGGAGACTTGGACCTGCCTCGCATGGGCCAGTAGGCCCACTGCAGTGTTCCTTTCTTCTTACATTCTTATGTATAGTTATTAGGTTAGAAACAATTTCCTAGAATAAGCAGTGAATAAGTTCTGAATATGCTTTAACATTAATGGAGTTAAAATCTTGTAAATTTTTTCATATTTTGGGGGGAGGACAATTTTTTTTGCCATCCTATTAGGAAATGATCTTGACAAATGGCCAGTACAGTGGACCCCCGCATAACGATCACCTCCAAATGCGACCAATTATGTAAGTGTATTTATGTAAGTGCGTTTGTACGTGTATGTTTGGGAGTCTGAAATTGACTAATCTACTTCACAATATTCCTTATGGGAAAAAATTCGGTCAGTACTGGCACCTGAACATACTACTGGAATGAAAAAAGTTCGTTAACCGGGGGTCCACTGTACTAATATAGGGTGACACTTGCCATTCCTTAACCTTAAACTCAAATATTTTTATAAGACTGCCACTTCATAAGGGATTAAGAATTGATAATATATGGTTGTTGCATTACACGAATCCTCAGTTTACACACACACAGGCAGTTTATTTGGGTACAGTTACACACGTGTACAATTACACAAGTTTAGGGAACACTGTATCAACATCCAGGGTCCCAAGCTATTCAACATCTTACCAGAAGATATCAGAAACACTGCTGGAACAAGTGTAGAAGTCTTCAAGAGGAAACTAGACAAGTATCTTCACCAGGTGCCATGTCAACCAGGCTGTGATGGATATATAGGCAGCGGGCCTCCAGCAGCAACCACCTGGTTGACCTGGCAAGCACCAGATGAGCCTGGCCCATGGCCATGCTCCGAGAGTAGTGAAACTCTCAAAACTCTTCAAAGATGCATGTATATCAAAAGTAATATCATTACTAACGCACCGGTCTGGAGTTTTACAACTCAGTAGCTGCGAGTTCAAGTCCCGCCCGTACCGTGGTTTGTTCACATTTATCATTCAGAGTATCATATGCACAAATAACCCTCACATAGTAGAAAGAAACATGAAGTTTTGGTCTGACTTGGACTATTAACTAGTCACACTGACTAGTCATTGGTCCAAGTCAGACCAAAACATCGTCATAAGCATCTTTCTCTCATGTGCAAGTTATTTGTGTTTTGTTCCAGTCATAGTAGTGTGCCTTTTTGTTCTTTATAGTAGCATGTGAGTAAATTACCAAGCATAACATTAAAGTCAGTGACTTGTCTCAGTTTGATTTGTTTGATCACAAAGTTTCTAATTTTTTCAATACATTTAGTATTATATTTAGGATTGTATAATTTCACTATTTTAGACAACTGTCTCGGAGACTTATTATACTAGGAGTTTCTTTAAAGAACTTTATCTGATAGTGTCTTGATTTTCTCTGTAGTTTGCTGGTCTAGGCTTGGACGGACGAGACCACACTGGTCAACGTGGAGGTGGGCGCGGGGGCCGGGGAGGAGGCCGCTACGTTCCCCCTCATCTACGAAATCGACTAGAGGATAATCCCCCACAGCCACCACCAGGTGAGGACGCCTCAGAAGTTGGTCAGTATCAATTATTCACTTTTTTGTAGTACAGTATAGCTATTTGTGGCTTATTAATTTGATTTAAACTAATGATGGCAAATAAATGCTTTTATTCAGATCACAAGAAGAGTCATCCTAGTACTGTTTGACTTTGCTGGAAATTACCAATATACATTAGGACGATTGGAAAATGTAAGGAAAATTATTCATCTCCCAGTCAGCTATTCATGTTGTTTAAAGTGAAGCATAGACCACAAATATGTATGTACAGTGATATAAAAAAAAATTAAAACTGTTGGTATTTTTAATTGACAGGTGCATTCTGCACCCAATCATTTAATTTTACATAAGGTATTTCCTCTGTCAAGTTATTACTGATGTGTGTGTCTGTGTGTGAATGCAGAAAATAGCAGAATTATGTGATTAGGCAGAAATAATGTACAGGTCTCCCTCAACATTCACGTTTTCAACTTTCACGGGCTTCACACATTTGCGAGGTCCCAACCGCCAAATTCCCAGCCACCAAATTCCCAGCCGCCAAATCATATTTAAGTTTCCTGCCACCTGCGAGTCCCTACTACCCTCCCTCCGACCCCCGCAACTGGCAGCCAGCCCTCCCACCACTCAGTGTGGTGAGTGTTTTGTTTGTTCATTATTTGCTATTAAACTACAGTATAAATAATGTAAACCCATTCATGACCGCATATTGGAATGGCTATTCGGACAGGTATTAGACGGTGACATCATGTGTTTACTCTTGAACAATGCAAAGAATTAAACATTTCTGCTACAGCTAATAATAACAATAGTAATAATAATAATAATAATAATAATAATAATAATAATAAATATGATATAATTGAAGAAGGAAATTGTACAAAAATACGAGGGAGTGGTTGACACATCGTCAGTGTGACTTTGTTTATGCTGGAGTGAACATTAGTCTCCCTGCTCTTCCAGACATTTCACAACAATTCATTGTGTTTGGTGCTTGTAGATTGAGTGTGACTGGAGTGGTAGAGGCAGTGATTGAGGCAATGGTATTTAATAACATACATGTTAATAATAATACATGTTATTAATAATATGTAATATTATTATTTATAACATATATGTTATTAAATACATACATGTTATTAATAATAACAACATGTACTATTATTATTTATAACATATATGTTATTAAATACCACTGCCTCAATCGCTGAATTATTGTGAAATGTTCACTCCAGCATAAACAAAGTCACACTGACGATGTGTCAACCACTCCCTCGTATTTTTGTACAATTTCCTTCTTCATTTATATCGGATTTATTATTATTATTATTATTATTATTATTACTATTGTTATTATTAGCAATAGCAGAAATGTTTGATTCTTTGCTGTGTTCAAGAGTAAACACATGATGTCACCGTCTAATACCTGTCCGAATAGCCATTCCAATATGCGGTCATGAATGGGTTTACATTATTTATACTGTAGTTTAATAGCAAATAATGAACAAACAAAACACTCACCACACTGAGTGGTGGGAGGGCTGGCTGCCAGTTGCGGGGGTCGGAGGGAGGGTAGTAGGGACTCGCAGTGGTGGAGTCTGTGGTATTTAATAACATACATGTTATTAAATAACATACGTTATTAAAGCATAACATGTATATATTTAGTACAATTTAAGACGTTTTCATGTATTTTATGATTATTCATGGTTCAACAAGTTAAGGAAGCAGTATTGTAATATATTTCCCTACAATATATTGGGGCACCAAACATTCACGGTTTTTCAACATTCGCGAGGCTCTTGATCCCCTAACCCTCGTGAATGTTGAGTGAGACCTGTATAGGGGTGAAAGATTAAAAGAATGGAATGTGGAGATAGTGAAGGTGTTTAGGTATTTGGAAAGAGAGAGATGTACACAGTGGAACCTTGGTATGCAACCTTAATTCATTCCAGAAGGCTGTTCGAGTGCCGCTCCATTTGAATATCGAACAAGTTCTTCCTAACCAATTTTCTGTTTGGTTGGCTGTTATCACTAATCTTCGAAGGCCCCATGGTAACTTATTTATATAAATAATATAAACAAAAAACCAAAATGTGAAGAAATAGGAAATACAGTTTTCAGCGAAGTTCTGGCAGGTCGTATTTGGTAGTGCTGAGCTTTGTTCGAGTAGGGAGCTGGTCGTATACCAAGGTTCCATTGTATCAGCAGCTTGGTTTATGAAGGTTCGACTCATATGATGGTTCAGGGAACATTATTACTGGGGTATATCTTGGAATAGATGAGGGGAGGAAAGTTGTGGGAGCATCGAGGAATTGGCGTGTAGATAGTTGACAATGCAAGGTGATGATAATGCTTTTATTTGACTGTGCAGTGAGATTGTGTAAAAGACATACAGAGAATAAAAAATTAGATGGGAATGTGGTGGTATTTAAGGCTTAATTAAACAAAAATAGTAAGGTTGGTCATGAATAATGGAAGACAAGTTGATTAATAGGGTGAATAAAAAAAAAAAAAACATACCACGGGTGGGGTTTGAACCCGCAGTCAGAGAGTCATTACGATTTCGTGAGTCAGGGTGAAAAAAAGATGATATAGTGGATATCCAAGGAATTGTTAGCAGGCATCCATCGATACAGTGTTGAGATGTAGGGAACGGAGCTTCCAGCAGCATGTAATGCCCTATTTTTAATTACGTATTTGTATCTGCGGGAGCAGAGCTATGCATGTTGTGTCACGTCTTTAGTAGTTTTTCATTACATAATTTTTAAATTCCTAATGGTTATATTACACGTGTACGCTCAAGTGTATAAGTGCATTATTTCCACCCATCCTTTAGAATGTAGGCACCACCTTCCAACTCTGGAATTCAGACCCTTCATTGCTCACATTCCAACAACACGTCAAACCCTTAAAACTGCCCGTCTCCACTGTTCTAGCATATACAGTGGACCCCCGCATAACGATCACCTCCCAATGCGACCAATTATGTAAGTGTATTTATGTAAGTGCGTTTGTACGTGTATGTTTGGGGGTCTGAAATGGACTAATGTACTTCACAATATTCCTTATGGGAACAAATTTGGTCAGTACTGGCACCTGAACATACTTCTGGAATGAAAAAATATCGTTAACCGGGGGTCCAATGTACAGTGGTACCTCGGGATACAAACTTAATTTGTTCCAGAAGGCTGTTCGAGTGCTGATACCAGATGAATTTGTTCCCATGAGGAATAATGTAAATTAGATTAATGAAGTACAGTGCCTGCACTCTGAAGGAGGGGTGTTAATGTTGCAGTTTAAAAACTGTAGTGTAAAGCACCCTTCTGGCAAGACAGTGATGGAGTGAATGATGGTGAAAGTTTTTCTTTTTCGGGCCACCCTGCCTTGGTGGGAATCGGCCGGTGTGATAATAAAAAATAAAAAAAAATAGATTAATGTATTTTAGACCTATAAAAATGCACTTACAAAAGCACTTAAATAAATACAGTGGTACCCTGAGTTTCGAACTTAATTCGTTTCAGAAGGCTATTCAGGTGCTGTTACCGAACGAATTTATTCCCATAAGGAATAATGTAAATGAGATTAGTCTGTTTCAGACCCCCAAAAATACGCTTAAAAAAGCATTTACAATAATACACTTACATAATTGGTCAAGTTGGGAGCTGTACGAAACTCGGGGTACCACTATTCTTACATAAATGTTCGCGTTTTGACCTGTTCGTATCCCAAGGTACCACTGTACACTGTTTACTGGATGCTCCAAGACCTTACCACTTAAAATTTTCACACCCTCCAACCCTTCCTGGAAAAACCCTCAACTCCTCCTCTCGTCTCAGATTATGTACTGTACCCTTTTGGTCATTCTGGTCTGCTCCATACTCTGTAAATGCCCAGATCACTTCAGCACTCCTGCCCTCTGAATCATACACACCTTACATATCCCCACATATTTTTTAATTTCTGTGGGTTAAATTCTTTGCATATTTTAGAAATTTTACAGGTCGGTTATCACAAATCCGGCAGTTGGTTCTTTCAGCAATCTTTCAGCAATCCGGTTCTTTCAGCAATCTGGCACTAATTTTGGCTAGCATAATTTCAAATTTCCGGGGTCACCACATCAACCTGCTGCTACTGTTTGGTGGCGCTACTTGCTACATAAATCATTCCAGTTTCTTTTTCTCCATTTATTGTTATAACCTGCTCACTTTTAGCCCTAGCCATGGTTCCAACAAATAAATGCTTCTTGTTATGTATAGTACATACACCGTACATTGTCAATAAATGATAAGGTGGCTTTGAAACCACTGTTGGTTGCCATGAGCTCAGCTCACTCAGATAAGCTGTGACTGGTAAATTTGGGCCTACGTATGAGAGAGTAGGTCTGTGTGGTATGCTCTATATAAACAAAATCCTGCAGCACACATTGCATGAGAAAAAAAACTTTGACCGTAGAGTAAAACAGATAGTTTGTGGTGTATTTTCATATGGTTTTTATGGTTGTATACTAGTTTTTTGGATCTCATTTTATAGAATGGAAGATGTATTATAGAAATAGATATGATTTTGATTGATTTCATGATGGAAAATACCTTGAAATTGAGCTCAAAGTAGCAGAAATGTTCAATTTTTGCCAATGTTCAGAAGTAAACAAATGATGATACCGTTCAGTACACGTCCAACTGGCCAATCTAATATGCACTCACAAATGGGTTGACATTATTTATACAATTATTACAATAATGTAGTAGTAACAGTAAATCTTCTGTTATTTTTTTTTTTTTTTTTGTGCGTGAATAAAAATTAAAAATGGAAATCAAGAGTAATATAAGAGGGGCCTGGAGACGTGACTGATGAACAGAGAAAATGTTATTTAGTGCCAGGAATGTCTGTATTGTTTATTCTGGACCCTATTTTGAAATTGGCATCTTTTGAAAGTTGTGTGAAATTGGCCAAATTACCAATTTCTGACCGCTTTATTGGGAGGTTGATATAGGTGATTGGGTGGTTTCTTGTATTCAGTCGACAGAATAGAAGGAATACTAGTGAAATAGCTGTGAGTTTGGTAGACTGGAACCTTGGAATGGGCCAAAAATAGGGCGTGAAGTGGGTGAAATCACCAATGCGTAAATATCGCCATTGGGTTAAGTGTATTGTAACCTAACCACTCTGTAATCTGGCAAAGTCACTAATTCGGTACACTACAGGTCCTGATGATGCCGGATTAGTGATGGCCGACCTGTATTTTACTCTGCCTTGATAGGAAATGGCTATTATGTAATTTTTTTTAATTGTACTCTTGTTAGTTGTGACCAAGTGGATATGGTTCAGCAGTCACCACAATCTTCCGCATGTGAATATAAAATGTGTCAGTACAGATGTGCAAAGTTTTGCAACTGTTCGTTGAGTACAGTGAATCCTCTCATTAATAAACTAGTAGGGGGAGGGAGGTATACGAATTACCGATTGCCCGAGCCATCCAAATTGTGAAATGTTTCTTGATCGTCCCTTTATTTTCTGAGCTAGTGGACTCTGTTCACTTATCCAGAAGACAACTGGACACTAAGAATACAGGTATTGTAACCTGTAGTATTACAGTACAGACATACCTCACTAATTTGGCGAGTTAGATTTCAATCACCTGGTCACAGACCGGGCCACGGGGGCGTTGACCCCCGGAACTCTCTCCAGGTAAACTCCAGGTATACAGCGAACATTGCTTTAAAGCAAATCACTGTCTTTTTTTTCATTTGCCAGTGGATATAAAAGCCTAAAAACATATTTACACTGTCATATATTAAGTGTGCATTAGCACTAGGCCTAAAAAAAAGTACAAAAGTAAAACTAAATGAGGGGAAAAAAAAATTGAAAATTTCCAAAATAAACATGAATACAGTGGACCCCCGGTTAATGATATTTTTTCACTCCAGAAGTATGTTCAGGTGCCAGTACTGACCGAATTTGTTCCCATAAGGAATATTGTGAAGTAGATTAGTCCATTTCAGACCCCCAAACATACACGTACAAACGCACTTACATAAATACTGTACACTTACATAATTGGTCGCATTCGGAGGTGATCGTTATGTGGGGGTCCACTGTATAAACATGATTGTAATTGAAAAGTGCCATATTAGTGAAGTGCTCTAAAGCGAGCACCATGTTAACAAGGAATGCCTGTGCTTTACTTCATAGTAATTTTATAGTACTGTACATAATTTACAGTAAATGTATTTATCTTTTTGTGGTGGAGAGATGAGGTGTAAACTGCCATGATCGAGAGTGGCGATTTACAATGACTTTTACTCCAAGTCAGAGGAGCTATGAAACTCCGCTAGCATCTACACTAAACTTGAGAGTAGTATAGCGTAAGTTTGTGCTTGCTTCTATGATTATCAGATGGTTTCTTAACACCACATTAATCACATACTTGCGCCTCTGAGATACCAGACTCAACCCTATTTGTTAAAGTTTCTGCTTAAAACTGAGAACCACACAATTCTTCATAGCATCGTCGCTTGCTTTAGAAGCCACTACTACTCGAGTTAAATTTTTGTTAATAAAGTCACACAAACGACAAAATCCAGGGAAAGTTAAGCCCTGAATAATAAGCGTGAGCACAAATAATGACTGGGCTGCCTGCTCGTCAGGCAGCAGTGAAAACGGTTAGTTCCTGGATGTGGTTACTCTGCTCCATGCCGGACAAAGTGTTTGTCATTAGGCTTGATCCAGTGCAGTAGTCCCCCCAAATTTGCGGGGGTTACGTTCCAAGACCACCCATGAATTTGGAAAAACCGCGAATTCTGGACGCGGTAAAAAAAAATGCCTATAAATGCCTTTTTTTTTTTTTTTTTAAGTTTAAACCCTAAATATGCTCCCAAAATACTACATTAATTTCATTTCAAACTTGGTTTCATACATCACTCTCAAAAAAAAACAAAGAATGTAAAGATAGACTCATATACAGTACTGTACTGCCACAAAAAAAGCCTCTCCCCCCCCCCCCAAAAAAAAAAAAAAAAAAAAATTACGAATTTGTGGGGATTTCTGCGAGCAAATTTCCTGGGGTTCCACTGTGCTTCAGGAGACAGCCGGACACTGTCGCTACGGACAAAGTCTGGAATTATGGACTTTTGTTCATTTTATCTGTTAATGAGAGGTTTTACTGTGTTACCCGTTTTGTATTTCTCACAGAAGTAAAGCTAATGTAATTTTTTTTTATTGTTTTTTCTCCCTGTTTTTTCTTTCCTTTTCTCTCTTCTCATTTTTTTTTTTTTTTTTTTTTTTTTTTTTTTAACCTAGGAATTTTACAGGGTTTAGTGCAGAGCTCTTAACTACATTAGCTGTTTCTTTGTCTTTTTCTTTCAATTTCTTTGTCTTTGTCTTTTTATCTTTCCTCTTTTTCTCACTTTTTCTCCTATATTTTTCTCTCCCCCCCCCTTTTCCCAACCCCCTTGATTCTCTTATTGCTTCCTACTTATCTTTGCTCTTTCATCTCTTCTTTTCCTTCCTCCTGTTCATAATCCACGTAGTTCAGTTCTTTATTTTATTTTAAGAAAGAGTGATCTAGTGTGTAAGTCTCGGCAGTAGATTTCTGTACGTCTGCCGTCAGTCACAATGCCACCCATCCTTTAAATTTTTATTTCTTAGAGATTAATTATAGATTTTATTCATTTTGCACAAGAATTTTGTAAGATTTTCTTAAATTGTACAAAATGTCATGTACATGTCCTCATGTTTACTCTGAGCATGTTTATTGTAGCTTCATGTTTTTAATTTATTGCTCATTATGGTTATATAATTTATAGTGCAGCATATAACTTGTTTGAATATTATTTGACATTAAATATTTTTTCCTATGATGAAAGCTTCTTATGATTCTGCATTTTCTTTGTGTATTTATATTTCACTTTAAAACTCTTTCCGAGAGCATAGCATAGTTTGTCCAATAAGGATTGCAGATTGCCATGTATTGCATCCTTTTGGCAGATACTTCAGATAGGAATTCTAGGGACGGTTTCGGAAGTTGGTATGCTCCCCGCAGTTTCCAGAACTCTGGCCGTAGCTGGGACCAGGACAGAGATAGAGACAGGGACAGAGATCAGTTCGGCAGCAGTAAGTTGTACATTAAGGGTGAAGGTTTGGGAGATTGACAGTGCCTCTTGTCTTGGTGTAGAATGTGTGTGTGCAGATTGTGCATAAGCTTGACATAACTTGCTCACTCACCTGTTTGCTGTGCAAGCCTCTGAGCTCACTATTAGCTAGTAGTGTAAATAGTGTAGTCTCAATGTGTGGTACCACAAAACAACTTGTACTTGTAATGGAGTAGTGCAGATGTAGCTGTGTAAGAACCCACACACACACACACAGGTTAGTCAGTGACACACTAGCAAGTAATAGTCTAGAGTGAGGGTGCACAAATGTTAAGTTCCAGTTATTTTAAATTAGTGTAATATAGTAGGTAGTGATATTAATAACTGGCCATGTATGTCAAGAACAAACCCAGTAGAACTAAATTACTTAAGTGTAATGAGGTAGCCCAAGAGCTAGAATTGAACCTTTCCTATATCTCTACTTCCATCCTCCCCACTACTGTCCTCACCACCAAACATAGTGCTGCGTAGTTCACTGGAGAGAGCATTCAGCTCACAATCGCAAGGTCCCGGATTTGATTCCCTGGCACGGAGAAATATTTAGGCAAGTTCCCTTGCATCCCCAGTGCTCTAGCCTACCTGGCAGTAACCATAGTTACCTGTGTGTGTTAGACAACATAAGTAGCATCCAGGGGGGGAAAATGTTAGAAAATTCCAGTCCTGCTGGACTGTCATGTCATATGTAAAAAAAAAATACTCTAGTCCTGGAAGTTTTCATATGTTGAGTAAGAGTTATCAGTGTTCCTAATGATGTTATAACAAAAAACACACAAACTAATATTTTTTGTATTAATTTATTACATTAACTTACTCCCAGGATACATAAGGGGGATTACCAGTAAACTGCTGGCTCTTTTCAAGAGGGATCTGGACAGACCCCTAAAGTCAGTACCTGACCAGCCGGGCTGTTGTTTGTACGTTGGATTGCATGTGGCCAGCAGTGACAGCCTGGTTGAATAGGTCCTGCCCCACTGTGAGGCATGGTCATGGACTGGGCCGTGGGGGTGTTGACCTCCCTGGAACACCCTCCGGGTATACCTGTAGGGAGTCATAGTGTTTAAAGGAGGCAGTCAGGTTCAATACACACAAAAGGATGGATCCTTGAATTAAAATCATCCCCCCCACCTTGAGGGAGAAATTGTATCAATAGAGGCAAACATTACTTGTAAATAGTTATTGTATTTAATGAAGTACACATGTACTAATACTAATTGCCTAAATGTACATAGCTTATTGTAGTTAAACCAATTCTGGTGCATGTAAGGTTCAGTTAGTATTATTTCCCATCAATGGAATACTAATTTCATAATGTACAGACAATATTTAGTTATGGCAAAAAGTTAAACCGTTTTCTACTTAATAAAATCTTTGTCTAGTTGGCAGACTGCCTGAAGCAACATAGTATACTGTACTGTATTTTATCCTGTGCTCTATTTTATCTTCTAGTGATGTGTTATTGTTGGTCTAAAATACTGACCAGGTGGCAAATATGACACCTCTAACATTTGGGTATGTTAATTGCCAAAATATTTTGCCTTCATGATAAACTTCTTCAGTCTGATACAAGTGAATGTAGCACTGAAACCAGTAGCAGCAGCAGCAGCAGTAGTAGTAGTAGTAGTAGTAGTAGTAGCAGTAGTAGTAGTAGCAGTAGTAGTAGTAGTATTGATGTAATCAGTCTGTCAACCTTGGTGGGGGTCACTCCCTCAAGCCTAAAGCTTAGGCAAGTGGTCAAACCTTGTATAGTAAAATAGAGATGAGATGAAACAGCTGGAGTTGTCACAGGTGAGCTTGATCCACAAGTAGTATTACCATAGGTTACGTTTACCAGCTGTTTAGCAGAAGACTTCAACTTTACTAAGATACTATGGCGTAGCTGCTGTGTCAGACAAGTGTCTAATACTGACAAGTTGATAAATAATAGACATTTGTAACACTTGGAGATCTTCTTTCTTTCTTTCTTTCTTTCAACATACAAGCCATATCCCACTGAGGTGGGGTGGCCCAAAAGAAAAAACTAAATTTTCTCTTTTTAAATTCAGTAATATATACAGGAGAAGGGGTTACTAGCCCCTTGCTCCCGGCATTTTAGTCGCCTCTTACAACACGCATGGCTTATGGAGGAAGAATTCTGTTCCACTTCCCCATGGAGGTAAGAGGAAATAAACAAGAACAAGAACTAGAAAGAAAATAAAAGAAAACCCAGAGGGGTGTGTGTGTGTATATATGCTTGTACATGTATGTGTAGTGTGACCTTAATGCAAGCAGAAGTAGCAAGACATACCTGAAATCTTGCATGTTTATGAGACAGACAAAAGACACCAGCAATCCTACCATCATGTAAAACAATTACAGGTTCCCGTTTTACACTCACTTGGCAGGACGGTAGTACCTCCCTGGGTGGTTGCTGTCTACCAACCTACTACCACAGGATGGTAGTACCTCCCTGGGTGGTTGCTGTCTACCAACCTTCTACCACAGGATGGTAGTACCTCCCTGGGTGGTTGCTGTCTACCAACCTTCTACCACAGGATGGTAGTACCTCCCTGGGTGGTTGCTGTCTACCAACCTTCTACCACAGGATGGTAGTACCTCCCTGGGTGGTTGCTGTCTACCAACCTTCTACCACAGGATGGTAGTACCTCCCTGGGTGGTTGCTGTCTACCAGCCTACTACCACAGGATGGTAGTACCTCCCTGGGCGGTTGCTGTCTACCAACCTACTACCACAGGACGGTAGTACCTCCCTGGGTGGTTGCTGTCTACCAACCTACTACCACAGGATGGTAGTACCTCCCTGGGTAGTTGCTGTCTACCAACCTACTACCACAGGACGGTAGTACCTCCCTGGGTGGTTGCTGTCTACCAACCTACTACCTATAACTTGGATATCTATTGTTGAAATGTTTCTCTTGCACAACAGCCTGTTGGGCAGACAAAATATTTTGGCAATAAAAATACCTGAGTGTTGCAAAGGTCTTTTATTTATCATAGTTACTGGTATCAGGGATTATCTCCTACTAAGATAAGTAGATTAGTATACAGTACAACCCAACTTTACTGCCGGTTTTCACTTTATTCCATCAGTTTATCTTTTCTCCATTTCCTGCTATTCTTTAAGTAAAAATCTTTACAGTACATACTGGCACTACACAAGTCTTTTTAAGATTACACAAAACTAGTTGACATTGATATCTGTTAGAACTGAAACTAAAAATTCTAGAAGATAGAAATCAAAGAGTTATTGAAGAATGGTGATTTTTTGAAGGAGTGAGGAATTTTCCGACTACAGGAGAATGCTGTGCAGTATTCGTAAAAGAATTGAACTAGCAAATAAAAAAATTGAACTGCAGAATCCAAACCCAAACCTGCATCTAGTACCCACAGGGAAATGGAGATTGGGAGAACCCAGCAATTCAGCTAGTTACACTTGAGATAAAAAAGAGGAACAGGAGAGCATGATAACAAGTGTATAACCCTGCAGCAGTGAACAGGAAGGCTGGGTGAAGATAAAAAAAATTCTTTAGATGTGGAGAGAATCAAACACATTTTTTAATAAACATGACAACCAAGGTAAAGACAGAAAAAAGCTACTTCACAGTCACACCAATAAAAAATGTATTATGAAGGATCAAGTCAAAACAATAAGAAAAGGGGTGGGGACAGGAAATTAGAAAGATGTATACAATAAGCTCGGTAAGTAAATTTATTTAGGCACAGGTACATGCACGTACAATTTTCATACATAGTGTATATTACCTAGGATAAACTAAAAATATCACACAAAGCAACTCGTTACCATTGGGGGTCCTTGATTTCCGCTGGGGTAGATTGTTTCTGTGTTTGCAAATGAGACAGAGTCGATACCCAAGATAGAAAGGACAAGACAAGTAGAACTATCAAGTATTGAAGCTGCTGATTAAGAAATATGGAAGCTTTTGATTGAACTTGACAAACTGTCGACAGTGTTACTTGTGTAGTACACTTAGATCATCCCAGCTACTTTTAGTAAGGGTCCCTTAGTAGCCGTGACGTCACGAGATTCCCCACGTGAGCCATAAGTTAGAAGCCCCAGTAAAAAAGGAACCTGACTGAATGTCACCCAGAAGCTGAGACATTTTGCATGCCACTAACAGCAAACCCTAACTTCATAACGGTTTAAGTGCCAGACAACTTGAAAGGTGATATTCTAAAAACAATAGTTAAGAATCTTTAAACTGCAAGCCCCTAATGAGTATAATATGCAAATTAAAAAAAAATACATAATGAAAGACTAAATTCCTATTATAGGATTTAAGATAGAGCAGCAGAGGTCAGACGAGGAAGTAGGATGAGTGGACTGTGTATCAGGATGAGATTACGACTTGTAAAATTGTATAAGGATCAGTGATGGGTACTACAGTATGTTGTTTGTAGTGTACACAGGTATTGGAAAAAAATATACACAAATACAGTACGTATAATACGATTCCTTATTGACTACATTTTGCCCACACGATGGCATTTATCAAGTCATCAAGTCAAAAACAGATAAAGCCCACTGTGTGGGCAAAACAGTCAGTAAAGGATCTCATTACATGTTCTTACTGCATTTGTCTATTTTTCCATCGTGTCAGCATTTTGTACCATTTATCTTCACCGTATACAGGCATTAGTAGCAGAAATAAACTCTTACACACAGTATCCTTGTTTGTTGATGTTACTGCAAACAGAAGTTGCTGACCTACTTGGATATATCTAGCACTGTACTTCACAAGTAGACAGACATATCAATGAAGCTTAAACCCAAGAAAAGCCAAGTTGCACAGTTGGGGAAACTGGATGCCAAACCAATCCCTGAAGCGTGCATAAACAAAACATCAACATCACACAAATTAAACTTGCTAACATGAGTGTGTCATTCAGGAAGTTTAACAAAGACTTGTTCAAAACATGTTTTACCTCACGTGACGGTGAGCAGCACTCGTATGGAACCCTCAGTTTATAAAATAGTGAAACTTAAGTACGAAGAAATGCATTAAGACTGACTTTGAGTTGTGATCATTTCAATTTACCAGTTTTATTAATTCCTAATTCCAGTGTAATAAAGAATGTTTCTGACGGGAAGTACGAAGAAATGCATCAAGACTGGTGCCTGAACTGGGTGAATGAACTATGAAGAATGTTAGAACCAGGCTGTATATAACTGAGTAATGAACAGTAAAGAAAATGATAATGACATACACATATATCATATTACAAGTCATGTATAAGCATAGGCTCTTAATCAGGGATGCAACAGAAAGAGGTGTGGTTGGAAATTGTATCCTAATTCTTTACAGGGATACATGACATTTTAGGAAATATTTAACTATAAGAATGGTGAAGAAATGGTACGAGCTGAACATCGATACATTGGGTAAAACCCTGTGTAGATAATTACAGATATATGTTGCATATGTGTGTGTATACAGAGGCTCCTGGCTTTACCATGGTTCAACTTTCGATATTTCGACTTGCAATATTTCAACTTTCTGGTGGTGCAATAGAGATCCACCTTCAATACTATACATTTATTGATAGGATAAACTTGTATTCATTTATTTACTTATCAATACTGGTATTTAGTTAATAGTAGTTATTATTTATTTACTTATACAGTAACAGTAGTTATTTATTTATCATTCACTTCTGACATTCTCAATTTACAATGGGCTCGTTGAAACGTAACCCCATCGTAATTCAAGGAGCACATACGTGTGTGTGTGTGCGCGCACGTGCGAGCGCATGTATATACTTTTACCCAATACTCCCTTTGAATGTCAGAATTGTGGAATAGAAGAGCTTCAGGAATAATATTGGCTGCCTTTACTTAGTGACACCACCTTTGAGACTTACACAGTTGAGTAACCATGTTCTAGGTGAAGTTGTTTATAACATTGCTGTATATGTGGGCAAGTGTGAGGGATATTGCTAACTGTGTCAAATGTGTGTCCTGTGTTGCAAATTAAACTTCTTAGATATGTACACACGGTGTTGTATAAAGAGTTTATTATAATTTTTGTTTTAGATAATAAGTGAAAAGAGGCTGTAATATATTTGGCTACCTAATGATTCCTTACGGTAGTCATATTTGAATTCATATCGTACAGCTAGTGGAACCTAGATTTTTTTTTACTTTGGTCATAAATTACTTCATTCTTGGTTGCTGCATCACACTGCAGGTGGACGCAAGAACGGGGATTTGCCATCAAATAACTACCAACGACGAGACAACCGCGGAGGCGGCGGTGGGGGCAACCCTGGGGGCACTGGATTCCGAGGGGGTGATGGGCAGCGCTTCAGGGAGCACGACGATCGATGGAGAGGTGGTCGTGAAAACCGCAGGTGAGATTGCTACACCTTTGGGAAGACAGATGGTGACTGTTTCCTTTGTTGGGTCACCTACATTGGTATAAAACGTATTATGTGCTACAAAATTTAAAATTTGACACTAATTTTTAATCTTCATGTAGGATTACTTTAACCCCTAAACTGTCCAAACGTAGATCTATGTTCGCTCATGTAGCACTCCGAACGTGGATCTACGTTTTTTTTTACATGCTTTCAAATGGGGGAAAATCAAGGTAGGAGCGCTATGCGCATAAACGTAGATCTACGTTTGGACAGTTTAAGGGCTAAACTTTTCATTTTTGGTCACCCTTGCATACTAGAAACTGAAATATTATATATATATTCTGAAAAATGGTATATATGTAATACCAACAAGTTAATGAGTAAGATAAATATGCAACAGTTGGATATCTTTATTGTTAAGATGTGTCACCTACATGGTAGCCTTCTTCAGTCAAATACAGGAAGGCATGAATTGTAGACAGCAAGAGTAAAGATGTAATCAGTTCATCAACCTTGAAGAAATAGTTTTTTAGGTGGTCAGTCCCTCAGCCTAGAGAAGAGTTCAGCTCCATGGTCTGGAACAAGGTGGTCAGTCCCTCAGCCTGGAGAAGAGTTCAGCTCCATGGTCTGGAACAAGGTGGTCAGTCCCTCAGCCTAGAGAAGAGTTCAGCTCCATGGTCTGGAACAAGGTGGTCAGTCCCTCAGTCTAGAGAAGAGTTCAGCTGCATGGTCTGGAACAAGGTGGTCAGTCCCTCAGCCTAGAGAAGAGTTCAGCTCCATGGTCTGGAACAAGGTGGTCAGTCCCTCAGCCTAGAGAAGAGTTCAGCTCCATGGTCTGGAACAAGGTGGTCAGTCCCTCAGCATGGAGAAGAGTTCAGCTGCATGCTCTGGAACAAGGTGGTCAGTCCCTCAGCCTAGAGAAGAGTTCAGCTCCATGGTCTGGAACAAGGTGGTCAGTCCCTCAGCCTAGAGAAGAGTTTCAGCTCCATGGTCTGGAACAAGGTGGTCAGTCCCTCAGCCTGGAGAAGAGTTCAGCTCCATGGTCTGGAACAAGGTGGTCAGTCCCTCAGCCTAGAGAAGAGTTCAGCTCCATGGTCTGGAACAAGGTGGTCAGTCCCTCAGTCTAGAGAAGAGTTCAGCTGCATGGTCTGGAACAAGGTGGTCAGTCCCTCAGCCTAGAGAAGAGTTCAGCTCCATGGTCTGGAACAAGGTGGTCAGTCCCTCAGCCTAGAGAAGAGTTCAGCTCCATGGTCTGGAACAAGGTGGTCAGTCCCTCAGCCTAGAGAAGAGTTCAGCTCCATGGTCTGGAACAAGGTGGTCAGTCCCTCAGCCTAGAGAAGAGTTCAGCTGCATGGTCTGGAACAAGGTGGTCAGTCCCTCAGCCTAGAGAAGAGTTCAGCTCCATGGTCTGGAACAAGGTGGTCAGTCCCTCAGCCTATAGTAGAGTTCAGCTCCATGGTCTGGAACAAGGTGGTCAGTCCCTCAGCCTAGAGAAGAGTTCAGCTGCATGGTCTGGAACAAGGTGGTCAGTCCCTCAGCCTAGAGAAGAGTTCAGCTGCATGGTCTGGAACAAGGTGGTCAGTCCCTCAGCCTAGAGAAGAGTTCAGCTCCATGGTCTGGAACAAGGTGGTCAGTCCCTCAGCCTAGAGAAGAGTTCAGCTCCATGGTCTGGAACAAGGTGGTCAGTCCCTCAGCATGGATAAGAGTTCAGCTGCATGCTCTGGAACAAGGTGGTCAGTCCCTCAGCCTAGAGAAGAGTTCAGCTCCATGGTCTGGAACAAGGTGGTCAGTCCCTCAGCCTAGAGAAGAGTTCAGCTCCATGGTCTGGAACAAGGTGGTCAGTCCCTCAGCCTAGAGAAGAGTTCAGCTCCATGGTTTGGAACAAGGTGGTCAGTCCCTCAGCCTAGAGAAGAGTTCAGCTGCATGGTCTGGAACAAGGTGGTCAGTCCCTCAGCCTAGAGAAGAGTTCAGCTCCATGGTCTGGAACAATACGAAGCTTAAGCATGAGTATGAAGTCCTTCATACTGCCAGAAGTGAGGTGTGGAAGATCTTGAAGACATTGCAGGAAGCAGGATCCACTAGTAGAAGCAAGAAAACAAGAATTGAGGAGTATTGCATCTTTACGTTTCCATTTCTCCTCCCTACAATTCTTTCTCTTCTGTATGTAACTGAAGTAGCCTACCACATAGGTGAAACATCTCAACAATAAAGTTACCCAAATGTTGCAAATGTGTCTCGCTTATCTTTTATCTAGTTGCTTGTCCTTGTAATGTTACATTTTTGCTACCACTTTCTTTATTCCTATGGAACTTCTGTTCAGATTACCTGTAAATCTTACCGTCTGTCATCTTGTAGCTTTGCCAGAGTTCAAACTTTCTGGCACTGTTTCACTTTTCAGGTTGTATATCTCGAATTTTCTTTCATTTGAATAGTTTGTAATAGGATTTTTTTTCTCTAGTGGGGGCTATGAAGAACGCTACCGTGATGGTGGGGGAGTGAACGGGCCTCCTCGTAATACTCGATGGATTGAAGATGACCGTGATCGCTCCTCTGGAGGAAATTCAAGTAGCCGGTGGCAGGATCGTGCAAATGATCGCGATGACTGGTCTCAGCCTTTGCCCAGGAATGAAGTCCTGGAGGCAGAGCTCTTCACTCATGCTGGACCAGTAGTAAGTATGATACAGTGTGTAAGTTAACCCTCATTTGAACAGGCTTAAGCAATATGAGACAAAATCTGCTGGATCATTTGATACGGAAACGATGAACAAAGCTGGTTAGATACAGAATTATCCATTATTATGATCAAGGCAAAAGAATCTCATCTCAACTCATAAAATTATAATGACACGATTGCAAATAAACTATACCACAGGCAGGGATTGAACTTGTGGCGAGTGAGTCATAAAACTCCAGACCGACGTGTTAGCCACTGGGCCAGCTGGCCAGCTGGCCCAGTGGCTAATGCACTGGTCTGGAGTTTTACAACTCACTCATCGCGAGTTCAATCCCTGCCTGTGGTATGGTTTAATCTCATCTCCATATACCATAATTGTCATTTGTGGCCCTTTTCCCCATTAGTCCATTAAATAAAGGATTTACTGTATTTTTTAAACTATTATGACAAGAATTCACACATTGTGAAAATTGGATGTCTGCACACTCCATTTTCACATTTCTGGATGGTGTTATTTCTACTTCAGAATGTTACTTAACAGTATGAAATCACTTGCTCTGTATTAACCCTTAAACTGTCCAAACATACAGCTTTGATTGTAGATCTACGTTATATTTTACACACTTTCAACCTTGGCACGATAAGCCAAGACATGAGAGAATGAGTCTGTGCACTCAGTGTGCACAGTATGACAAAATTCGGGGATGCCGGGAAAAATGTGCTCTTCATTTTAAACTTTTTTTTTTTTTTTTTTTTTTTTTTTTTTTTTCCAAAAATATTTAGAGCGGTACGCAAGTGAACGTTGATTTACGTTTGGACAGTTTAAGGTTTAATAGGTGGGTGATGTTCTTTAGATATCTCTAGGCATTCGCAATAATTTAAATGTTTGAATTGATAAAGGCAAGGATAGCTCTGTGTACATTTCTTCCTACCTTAAATGGAATTTTTAGCATACAGTAATATTCCAGTATAGAGATTATAAACTTCTTCGTGTTCTTATGTGACCTTTAACCCGTAAACGGTCCAGACGTATATATACGTTTTTTCAACATTTGAAAGTATGTAAAAAAAGTAGATCTTCTTTTTGTTTTTTTACATTTGAAAATGTAAAAAAACATAGATCTACTTTTGTAGCAGTACACACGTGAACGTAGATCTGCTTGGACCGTTTATGGGTTAACATGGTTATTGTACTTCAAATTGTTTTAAAATAAAATTCTGAAACTTTCTTTAGGATTTGATGGATATATTCGTGTACATTAACATTGTATATATTTTTTTTATATTTTATGCCAAATTTGATTTATCAGTTTAACCTCAAAAAAATGATTTAATGTGATGTACTATTTACTGTAATGTGTTTTGTGTGTGATCAGACTTTTATTTTTTCAGCTAATGCATTGTTTATTGTTTAATATATAAAAAAATTATATTGCAGTCAAACAGTGGTATCAACTTTGACAAATATGATGACATTCCTGTGGAGGCCACTGGAGATGATGTTCCAGTGGCAATCAACACTTTCGCAGATATCAAGCTAACGGAAATTATAAAGATGAACATAGCCTTAGCACGTTATGATAGACCAACACCTGTTCAGGTATGTTGTCAATATTTACAAAAGGATTTAGAAAAGTACTGGTTTAGAAATATAGTAGTCGAGGAGTGGAACAGTCTACCTAGTAGGGTATTGAAGCTAAAACCTTGGGTAGCTTCAAATATAGTTTAAATACACGAGTGAGAGAGGTTAGATTTGAATGGGACTTGCGTATGAGTTAATGGGGGTTATCAAAGCTTTTTCCTTTGGTAACATTGCAAATGGGTTGGGCAAGTATTTTTGTTAGTTTGAGTTTGAGAAGAACTTGCCTAGTATGGGCCAGTAGGCCTGCTGCAGTGTTCCTCCTTTCTTATGTTCTCAAGTTATTCAGTGAAACATTCTTGACATGTATAGTTTCTAGACCTGCAGTGGCATGGAAATTGAAAACTCTCATTTTCTCTAATTTGGGTTTTGTTAGTGTATTTATACTCTAGTTGGAATTGGCAGTAAAGTCGATTAATGAGCATTAAGTTAGTGTAAGGCATATTTTTTTGTATGAAATCTGCATTTTGCATTCTGATTTTTTTTCCCCTCACAGAAATATGCTCTGCCTTTCATCTTGGCCAAGAGAGATCTGATGGCCTGTGCCCAGACGGGTTCGGGAAAAACAGCAGCATTTTTGGTCCCTATCCTTAACCAGATTTATGAGCAAGGTCCAATTCAGGTGAGTTAAGAGAGACTTGGACCTGCCTCACATGGGCCAGTAGGCCTTCTGCAGTGTTCCTTCTTGTGTAGACAACTTAATTCAACACTTGACACACAAGAGTTATTTTATTACATCCTTCAGAGTATTTCCTTTCCTACTTAGGAAGCCCTGTCTGAGTTTGGGCCATAGACCCAAGGTGAGAATTTTGATAATTAGCTAGACTTGAGTCCTGGAGATGATGTACCTTTACCTTTGATGAGTTTACAGTCTTTCTACTCCTGGAGCCTGGTCATGGGACAAGATTATCTGGTGTTAGCCTGGTCTACCAGGCTGTTGCTGCTGGAGGTGGGAAGTACAGTGCCTGCACTCTAAAGGAGGGGTTTGGGATACTTGCTGTTTAGAGGAACGTCTAAATTGTCATATCTGTGCGCCTCTGACAAGACAGTGATAATGTGAATGATTGTGAAAGTGTTTCTTTTTTCGGCTTACCTTTGCTGCTTCGGGAGACAGCCAATGTGTTTAAAAAAAACTGATGATGCTTTGGTTTGTCTTGGGCCAGTGTTGAATCTCATCAGTAGGCCTCTAGCAGGGCCTCCAAGAGAAATTTTACAAGGTGGAACAAGACTGCTTTGGGGCCTCTGGGGGCAGGCTGAGGCTCCTAGTCTAAGTGAATTTTACATAATTATTTTTCTAAATAAACTAAAAATAGTTGAAATTACCAAAAAAAAGAAAAAAGAAAAATAAAACTTACGTGGCTATGGGGCCGCCTCAGAGATTCGCACCTGGGCCACAAACCAACCTACTGGCCTAACCCTTCCCCATCCCTCTCTCTTAGGCCCTGCAAAAAGAAAGAAAAACTCAAAAAGAAATAAACAAATTTCATCATTCAACACTTTCACCATCACTCTTGACAGAGGCGCTCAGGTACGACAGTTTAGATGTCCCTCCAAACTGCCAATATTTCTTCCATTTTGTCAGGCCACTCCGTACCTTGGACGGAGATGGCCAGTGTGTGAAAGACACATCTTTTGCATTGTTGATTTAAAGTTTATCACATTTTTAATTAAGGTATGTTTTTGTTTTTGCTCAGATCAAGAATAATAACCCTCGTGGGCGCAGCAAGCAGTACCCACTTGCCCTGGTTTTGGCACCCACTCGTGAGCTGGCAACCCAAATATACGACGAGTCCAGAAAGTTTTCTTATAGGTATGTTTGTCTGTATCTTTAGGCTCGTAACATTTTACTAATGGGATCAACTGAAAATGTACCTTAGAGGTTGATTCTTATGTAGGCCCCATGTGAATATTGAGGAAATGAACAGTGTTCAGTGTTAAAATATGAACACAAGTACCATATCAAACCTTATACAGTTATTTATATCAAGTTATCCCATTTCCCACTTAAATTGCATTCGAGGCAAAAAAAAAAATCTAGTTTCTGCGTAACTGTATTTATTGTATGTTTTAAGATAAAACTATTTGAGTATTTTGTTCTTTTTTTATGAGCTGCATGTTGAGGAAGTGCTACATTCTAACAGTTTGTTAGGCCTACACTGCCTATTTTTAAGTGTGCTCATGTGTATACTTGTTTATACATTAGACATGAAGCTCTTTAACAATCTCCTACTTGTTCACCCAAGTCCTTGCAGTGTGTGTGAACATCCCATTAAATGAAACTAGATGGCATGCTGCCAACAGTAGTGAGGAAAAAAGCATTTTTGCAGACTAAGCTTTTAACAGATCAAAACATTGACTTGCTAAAAGCTTGTCCTGCAGCTTCATCCCACTGAATGTTTCCCTAGGTTTTTCCCTGGCACTAGGTTGCATTTTTTGTGGTAGTGGATTTGGAGTGGCTGGTGTGCCTCACTCAACCCTGGATCCTACTTTTTGACCTAAATGATGGAGTGATATCCTTTGTCATCAAACTTTACTCTCCCTTGTAACCTGTGATTTGGAGTCAGTTATAGAAGATTGGACTGTTTTAATTGGACCATTTTGATTGTGATTCCTATATGTGGTTGCAGGAGTTGAGTTTCAGCTCCTGGCCCACCTCATGACTTATCACTTGCCAGATTCACTCTCCTAGCCTAGTGGGACCCATCATGCCTGTTCTTAAAACCATGTATGGAGTCCACCTCCACCACTTAATCACAATAGCAACAATTTTGCATTGATAGCAAATTAAAATAGTTAAAAATTGGCAACAATGAGAGTGAATTTATAATTTCAGCAAGTGTTTCGTCAAAACAAATGAATAACATCATAGTCTCAGCATATAAGCACTAAGCAAATAAGCCACAAAGCATGAAGCAACTAACCAGGAAGGTGTGTAGACAAGGCTGGAGAATGCTGGCTTGGCTGTGGGTTAGCATCTCAAAGGGCTTCCATGCGGTCACACACAATGTCCGACTGGCTTGGTAGAAGTAATCTCTCTTTATCTGTATAATCGTCAAAATCGCGCACACACCCGTCACCACTTCAACACCTCTTAATTTTTTCAATTATCACTTGACTGTTGGATAGAACTTAATTTTCACATGCACTGGTGTATGGCCCTTGTAGGTTTATCACTTCTTTTTGATTTTCACAATTAATACAAAAATTAATGATGTTCTAGTGTTGATATTGGATGGAAGCTTCATAAAAGGCACCTCCTCGAGTTACTTAGTGCCTTCCTTAATTGTTGAATTATCTTTATTTGAAATTTTACATGTCAGGATATGCCGAACAACCATTGTGAAAAGAATAGTGAACTTCCAAGAACTTTCATGATTGCTCATCAAGGAACTGTTCCTTGATAATGTGAGAAATCACGAAAGCACGTGGAGGTTCACTGTTCTTTTCACAGTGGTTGTTCTACATATTGTGATATCACCTGTTTACTGTGATCTTATTGCATATCAGGATATATAGTTTTTCTGAACTTGACTTTGCTCAGGTATTTTTAGCGTCTCCCTCCAGCGTTCATTAGTAACAAATAACATTGTTGAGAGTGAATTGTGGAAATAATGCTGATGCTTATTTTCTTAGGGCTCGAGTACGTCCATGTGTAGTGTACGGTGGTGCAGATGTAGTCTCACAGATGAGGGACTTGTCTCGTGGTTGCCATCTACTTGTTGCTACACCTGGTCGTCTTGCCGATATGATTGACCGTGGCAAGATTGGTCTGGACTCTTGCAAGTAAGGCAAAAAAAAATTTTTTCATTACTTTTAGTTAAATTGCAGGTATGTTGGTTTTGTCTTGCATTACTCTAATCATTTCTGTTGGAGCAGAGGCAGAAATTTTCAAAAGAAAACTGGAACAGTACCGTCTACAAGTGCCTGCTCAACAGGTTGTGGATATGTGAATCTGCAGCCTACTAGCAACAATGGCCTGGTTGATCCAGGTCATCAAGGAAATTTGATGGCAGGCAGGCTAAGGGCAGTAGAAGAATCCTTGAAACTGGCCATCAGCATGTCAGTTATTGTTAGTACTAAATAGTGGTGTCAGGGCTGGCATTGTTTTTTCATTTGTAAGCTAAACTTTGTTTTTTAGGTATGTTTGTGTATTTACTTAACCCTTTAGCTGTGGCAAGTCGGCAAAAAAAAATCCTGGTGGTGTGGCAAGATTTTGGGAAAAAAAATTTTTTTTCTTTTTTTTCTTACTGTTTGATAGTTTATTTTTCTGATTCGAATAAGACTAAAATGAGTGCAGTCTGATAAAAACTCAAGATTTTACGCTGTGTTAAAGTTGGTGAAAAAGTGATCACTTATTGGCAACAGTGGTGTAAAAATGCCAGCAATATTTACTTTCTGCAATTAGTGACTCCAAGATTTGATTGCTTTTTCTGTTTTTGTTTTTTTAATTACTTTTAATGTTTAACATTATGTATACTAGTTGCTTATGATACTAGATGTGTTTCTAGGTGTTTTACCACTTCAAACATGGGGGAACTGCTTGCCTGACATTACTGTACTGGGAATATACTGTATGGTTTTTTCAACATGTTCGCCATCTCCCACGAAGGCAGGTTGGCCTGAAAAAGAAAGAATCACTTTCACCATCATTCACACACAATCACTGTGTTTGCAGAGGCACACTAATACAACACTTTACATGTCACTCCAAATAGCCAGTATCCCAAACTCCTCATTTAAAGTACAAGCATTGTATTTCCCACCTCCGAGACTAGAGTCCGGCTAACCGGTTTCTCAGAATCTCGTCACAAAATATTACCCTACTCACAATAATAGAAATAATTGAAGAAATGGCTTAAGTAGATACAAAGTCCACTAAAAACTAGCCATAACCAGTGTGATTAAATATAGCATAGTTGGATCTAAACTTAGGAAAACCCAAGTTAGGTTAATCCACACTCATGAACAAGCTTCATGAGACATGACTTCGAGAAAATTTGTTTCATGAATGCTGATATGCATTATGAAGTATGACACATGACCATCCTTTGCATTATCATTTTTTATGGGATTTCATGCATTGGCCAGGGAGGTATACCATCCTGTAGGAGTGAGGAAGAGCCAGATGTGAGTTGTGGTGTGTGAGGCTGTGGGTAATATGAAAGTGGGGAAAGCAGCTGGGATTGATGGGATCAAGACAGATGTTAAAATCAGGTTGAGATACAGTTTTGGAGTGGTTGGTATTTTGTTCAGTATATGCATGAATGAGGGGAAGGTACCTAAGGATTGGTAGAGTGCATAGTTCCTTTGTGTAAAGGAAAGGACAAGAGAGAGTGTAAAAATTATAGAGGAATAAGCCTGTTGAATGTATCACATAAAGTGTATGGTAGTTATTATTAAAAGAATTAAGGGTAAAACAGAGCAGGGAAGACTAGAACAGATGAGAATTTGCAGTTTGGAGAGGCATCTGAACTGTAGCATCAATACGCCACTGGCAAGACTGTGATGAAGTGAATGATGGTGAACGTGTTTCTTTTTGGGTCACCCTACCTTAGTGGGAGACTGCCAGTGTATAAAAAAAAAATAAACAAGTTCAAGGTTACAAACCACTTGCTTTTAAGTGAAATCACCAGGAATATAAGTGATTCAAAAGTTGGAGCCTTATTGCACATCATTGTATATTTTCTGATTATACTTTTATTCCTTACATGATGGTAGGATTACTGGTGTCTTCTTTTTTATCTCGTACACATGCAAGCTTTCAGGTACGTCTTGTTACTTCTACTTACACTTAGGTCACACTACACGTACATGTACAAGCATATATATACATACATACCCCTCTGGGTTTTCTTCTATATTCTTTCTAGTTCTTGTTCTTGTTTATTTCCTCTTATCTCCATGGGGAAGTGGAACAGAATTCTTCCTCCGTAAGCCATGCGTGTCGTAAGAGGCGACTAAAATGCCGGGAGCAAGGGGCTAGTAACCCCTTCTCCTGTATAAATTACTAAATTTAAAAAGAGAAACTTTCGTTTTTCTTTGTGGGTCACCCTGCCTTGGTGGGATATGGCCGGTTTGTTGAAAAAAAAAAAAAACCTTTACTCCTCCCAGATACCTGGTACTTGATGAGGCTGATCGCATGCTGGACATGGGTTTTGAGCCTCAGATTCGCAGAATCGTTGAGGAGGACAACATGCCTCCCACTGGACAGCGACAGACGCTCATGTTCTCGGCTACGTTCCCCAAAGAGATTCAGCGCCTTGCCCAAGTATGATACCCATTAAGTTTGAGGACTATTTTAATAATAACATATCACTTTGAACATACAAGTGTCTTATGTTTCAGTAGATGGAAAATGCTTTCATGTGATATCCATTGTTGACTTAAAATTTAGATGTGGATCACGGATTGTTTAAGTTGTGATGTCCATGCAGTATTACCAAGAAAGCTACTGAATGAATAATGGTGAATGTTTTCCTTCTTTGTCACCCCTTATCTTGGTGGGAGGTGACTTGTGTTATGAAAAAAAAAATACACACAACCCTTTAACTATTAACATGACATTGTCTGTCTTTTTTTTTTTTTTATTAAAAAAAAATTTCCCTACAGCCACAACTTCAGGCACTAGTTTGACTATAATGTAACTATTAAAAGTACTACACTAACTGCTTCCTCTGATGTCATATTTACTATTGTCACCATAAAGACTTTTGAATTGCCTTGTAATTTCTTAATAGTTCTTGTTCTTAGTGTTTCCTTTCATCTCCATGGGGAAGTGGAGAAGAATGCTTCCTCGGTAAGTCACGAGTGTCATAAAAGGCGACCAAAATGCTGGAAGCAAAGAACAAGTAACTCCTTCTGTAACAGTTGCTAAATTTAAAAGGAAAAAAAATTTCAACTTGGATTATTGAAAGTGCTGGCATTAAAATGACCTGTTTGAGTTGGTGAGAGGGGAATGAACTCTAGTTCTAGGTCCTGCCTATTAACTTTCAACCAGCTGATATGATTGACCAGTCATATCCATTTTATGGTATATTTGTTGCAGTAATGGAGCATTTGTTGACCACCATTAATGTATGTTTGTTTAACTATTCATATTAATTAAAATTAAGCAAAGAATAAAAAAGGCACAATACCATGACTGGAACAGTAGACAGGTAACCCATATATAGGAGAAAGAAACTTATGACAATGTTTTGGTCCAACTTGGTTGCTGTGTGACTAGTCAGTGGTCCAAGTCAGACCGAAACATTGTCACGAGTTTCTCTCTTCTATGCAGAAATTATTTGTGTAAGGTTAAGTAACTTGCGATAAAAAAAACCATACCATGGGTGGGGATAGAACCCGCTATCAGAGAATCATAAAACTCCAGACCGACGTGCTAGCCACTGGGCCAGCTGCAATCGTATCATTACGATTTCATGAGTTTAAGTAACTTAGCTGTGGCCCGGGAATAAAATAGACTACATCCTCTCCTCGCTTAGCGACATATTCATTTACCGATGACTCGGTCTGAGGACTGGCTTTCAGACCAGTATTCATAACTAATTTATTTTATTTTTTTTTATTATCACTGGCCGATTCCCACCAAGGCAGGGTGGCCCGAAAAAGAAAAACTTTCACCATCATTCACTCCATCACTGTCTTGCCAGAAGGGTGCTTTACACTACAGTTTTTAAACTGCAACATTAACACCCCTCCTTCATAACTAAATAATGTATATTAGAGCTCATTTCCTCTATTCTGTTTATTACAATATACAGTACACTATTGTATAAACATTTAAAACTATACCAGAAATGTTATACAGTGGACCCTCGCATAGCGCTATTAATCCGTTCCTGAGAGCTCAATGTTATGCGAAATTATCGTTATGCGAATGAATTTTCCCCATAAGAAATAATGGAAATCAAATTAATCCATTCCTGACACCCAAAAGTATGAAAAAAAAAAATTTTTACCACATGAAACATTAATTTTAATACACACAAACTGAAGAAGACATGCACAGTTACATGACACTTACCTTAATTGAAGATCTGGTGATGATTGATGGGATGGGAGGAGGGGAGAGTGTTGATCTTCTTAGTGTTTAGAAGGGGAATCCCCTTCCATTATGACTTGAGGTGTCAAGTCCTTTTCTGGGGTTACTTCCCTTCTTTTTTTAATGCCACTAGGACCAACTTCAGAGTCACTGGACTTCTGTCGCACAACATATCTGTCCATAGAGGTCTGTACCTCTCGTTCCTTTGACTTTCCTAAAGTGGTTCACAACATTGTCAGTGTAATAGTCACCAGCACGGCTTGCAACAGCTGTCTGAGGGTGATTTTCATCCATGAAGGTTTGCACTTTAAGCCACATTGCACAGATTTCCTTAATCTTTGAAGTAGGCAACTTCTTCAATTTCTCTCCCCTCCTCTGAAGCAGTTTCCTCAGGTGTGGCCTCATGCTGAAGATGATGATCTAGCAGCTCATCAGTGGTTAGTTCTTCATTGCCCTCCTCCACCAACTCTTCCACATCCTCCCTACTAACCTCCAACCCCAAGGACTTGACCAATGCCACAATGGATTCCTCAACTGGCATAGGATTCTCAGGGTTAGCCTGAAACCCTTCAAAATCCCTTTTGTCTACACATTCTGGCCACAGTTTCTTCCAAGCAGAGTTCAAGGTCCTCTTAGTCACTCCCTCCCAAGCCTTACCTATAAGGTTTACACAATTGAGGATATTAAAGTGATCTCTCCAAAACTCTCTTAGAGTCAATTGAGTTTCTGAGGTCACTACAAAACACCTTTCAAACAGAGCTTTTGTGTACAGTTTTTTGAAGTTTGCAATAACCTGCTGGTCCATGGGCTGCAGGAGAGGAGTGGTATTAGGAGGCAAAAACATTACCTTAATGAAGCTTATGTCCCCACAAAGTTGCTCTGCCAAGTCTGTAGGATGACCAGGGGCATTGTCTAACACCAGGAGGCACTTCAGGTCTAATTTCTTTCCAGTTAGGTAATTTTTCACATTGGGGGCAAATGCTTGGTGTAACCAATCATAGAAAAAGTCCCTAGTGACCCATGCCTAACTGTTTGCCCTCCACAGCACACACAAATTAGCCTTGAGGATATTCTTTTGCCTGAACGCTCTGGGAGTTTCAGAGTGGTACACTAATAAAGGCTTCACTTTGCAATCACCACTAGCATTGGCACACATCAACAGAGTAAGCCTGTCTTTCATAGGCTTATGTCCTGGGAGTGCCTTTTCCTCCTGAGTAATGTAGGTCCTGCTTGGCATTTTCTTCCAAAACAGGCCTGTTTTGTCACAATTAAACACTTGTTCAGGTTTCAGTCCTTCACTGTCTATGTACTCCTTGAATTCCTGCACATATTTTTCAGCTGCTTTGTGGTCCGAACTGGCAGCCTCGCCATGCCTTATCACACTATGTATGCCACTACGCTTCTTAAATCTCTCAAACCAACCTTTGCTGGCCTTAAATTCACTCACATCATCACTAGTTGCAGGTATTTTTCTAATTAAATCCTGATGCAACTTCCTAGCCTTTTCACTTAGGATCGCTTGAGAGATGCTATCTCCTGCTATCTGTTTTTCGTTTATCCACACCAATAAGAGTCTCTCAACAGCTTCTATCACTTGCGATCTCTGTTTCGAAAACACAGTTGAACCTTTGGCAAGAACAGCTTCCTTGATTGCCGTTTTCTTGGACACAATAGTAGTGATGGTTGATTGGGGTTTACTATACAACCTGGCCAGCTCGGAGACACGTACTCCACTTTCATACTTGGCAATGATCTCTTTCTTCATCTCTATAGTAATTCTCACCCTTATTCCTGTAGGGTTGGCACTAGAAGCTTTCTTGGGGCCCATGGTCACTTATTTTGCAGATGAAAACACCAAAAACGCTGTAATAATACGAAATGTTCCGATTGTATGCTTGGATGTTACCGCGGAGGCTGGCTGGTAAACAATGCCACTGGCAGAACATGCGAGGCTGGCTCAGGCCGCACATTAGACGTGTCTCGGACGAATAGCGTTGAGCGAGTTTTTTAGCGGTATGCGAGTCAAAATTTTAGCGATAAAATGTACCGGTATACGGATTTAACGTTATGTGATGCCAACGGTATGCGGGGGTCCACTGTAAATGGTGCAAAGGTGACATTAGAACAATATCGAAGGTGGTTGATACAAACCCACTACCATTATAGTATTCTCCTCATTTAGCGACGAATTCACTTATCGACGTGGTCTTAGGAATGGAACTCCGTGAGGAGAGGCTGTAATTATTATAGAAGTCCTGTGTTATCATTTCACCAACAGGTTATTACCACTTCGAGTAAGTAAAGTAAAGTTTATTTCTTTGTGAAGGTTATAATGTGTAATTACAATTTTTATTTGGTAAGTACAAAGATAGTGGAATAAATCGTCTGACTATGCCTTTGATAACAAAAAATATTTTCTTCCAGGATTTCTTGGACAATTACATTTTCTTGGCGGTGGGTCGTGTTGGATCGACTTCTGAAAACATCACACAAAAAATTGTATGGGTTGCTGAGGACGATAAGCGCTCCTTCCTACTGGACATACTCAATGCTGCCGGCCTGGACCGTCTGAGCGAAGCAACCAAGGGTGCATATTACTCTTTCTGTATTTTTTTGCTTACAAGATGGATACTTGGCTTTTTCTTTAAATGGATTTCCTTTCCTAGAAAGCCCTCTCCTTGCAATATTGTACAGTCATCCCTACAAATTTGCCAGCTTCCATATATGCATATTTTAGTTGCCTATTTCTGCAGCAGGGCAGCTGGATATGTTCGGTTATCCAACATTTTTTCTGGCTAATTGGATTTCCCCATACCCAGACTCCTGATTTTGGTCAGTATTAACCAGACTAGAGAATATAACGGAGATGTGGTCTCTGAAATGCGAGAAACCAAATCTGAAACAAAATTTATGCAGACCATTGTTGTATTATGGTTTCTAGTTTTTTGGGACTTGTAGAAACAACCCAGAGTTAACATGTAGGAACAACTGCATATAACATATTTGCTACAAATTAACATTTTTATTAATGCTGTTGTATTCTTTTATTTGGCTGGAGATGCTCTGTCAGTAATGCCAAAGATGTTTCATTCTTTCAACAAACTTTTTGTATTTACACACCAGAATTTAAAACAGATATTCAGATTCATTGTAGCATGCATAGGAGTCACAAGACACTACAGTAGACCGTCATATTACACAGATTTATTTGGCACGTTTTGGTTATTGCATTATTGAAAAATTGCGACACAATTTTATACAACATAAAATTAACTTAACACGGTTATGTTTTCGGGTACGGAAAAAGTTTCCCAGCTCAAGTTGCTGCCTTTTTGTGGGTCAGCAGGGGAGACCTACCACCATCCCCTGCAACCACCAACGCTCTTGCCACTCCCAACCCAGGGGAGACCTACCACCATCCCCTGCAACCACCGACGCTCTTGCCACTCCCAACCCAGCCTTCGTGAAGTGTTTAGTTCCATTGTCTTGGGTGCTAGCTGTGTTTGTGAATTGTTTTGATTATTTAATTGCCGTATCTTGTATCTGCCAAGCAATCATGGCACCCAGTAAGCATAAGAGTGTTGCTGAAAGTGGCAAAAAAAGGTACAAGGGTTTAAGTCTTACAATTACGCAGAAAATAGAGGTATTAGACAAGAGATAGCCTATGGTCTTAGTGAAGCGTCACTTTGTACCGTTAAAAAGAATGAGGTAAATATACGAGTTTGTGATGAATAACTGACTTGGCTGACATGGCTAACTAACTTTACTGACTTGACTTTACTGGCTGGCTGACTGAAATACTGACTTAACTGATTTACTGACTGGCTTAGACTTTTTTACTGAAGATAACCCTGACAAATCTAAAAGCAGTGCTCTGAAACTGTCTAGAGCAGCTGATGCCTTACCCTCAACTGTAATGTACATTACAGCTTTTATGCACACTCCAGTACAACCATCAACTCCAGTACCAGAACTTCTACCATCCACCTCTGCCCAGTAGGGTCACAGCATAACTCTCCACTGTCTTCACAATCAGTGACAAACACCAGTACCCACAATTTAATAAATACTATTATTTCTCTTGCATTTGTAGTCTTAAGCTATAAGAACAGCATAATACATCATGGCAATTAACTACAATTACATATTCACTTTAATTTTTGTAAGATCTGGAGGTCTAAAAAGAAAAAAGGTTTGGCTTTCTTGGGGTTCCCAGGAATGTAACCCTATTTTTCCCATAAGTTCTTCATTTTATCTAACATGGATTTACCTAACACGGGGTTTTCAGGAACGTAACTACCCTGTAATATAACGGTCTACTGTATATCACAAAAAAATCTAAGTGCAGTTGACCCATGCTTAACAACCCTAGATAAGGATGACACAGAACCTTTTGGTAAGTACAAAAAAAGTTAAGCGAACCACATTTTTCCCCAGGCACCCTTGTAACCTGTGGGTCAGAACTGTAATATTTTGTATGCAATTCCTATTTGGGGTGGGATGGTGATATTCGTAACTGCACTCTCCTTGAGACATTAACCTTGATCACACTTTCATCCTCTTTTTTCCTTCTGTTTTCATCTCTCGAGACAGAAAGTGGCTCCCACCTGAGGGGTGTTGGAGTGTGAGCAAGGTAACATTTATGAAGAGGATGGAACGAAATAGAATGACTTCGAGAGTGTATAAATCTGTAGTGGAGAGAAGGTGGGGTAGGGGTCAGCAATCTCACGCATGCTTGGACTTCCAGTAAGCATGCTTGAGCTTGTTAGATAGGAGCAAATGGAGACAAATGGTTTTTAGGACTTGATGTGCTGTTGGAGTGTAAGCAAGGTAACATTCATGAAGGGATTCAGGGAAACCGGCGGGCCAGACTTGATTCCCGGAGATGGGAAATAGTGTCTGCACTCTAAAGGAGGGGTGTTAATGTTGCAGTTTTATAACTGTAGTGTAAGTGCACCTCTGCAAGACAGTGATGGAGTGAATGATGATGAAAGTTTTTTTTTTTCAGGCCACCCTGCCTTGGTGGGAAATGAGGGATGGCTTTTCACCTGCTAATCTACCAATAATTTTTTCCAGAAATTTCTCATTGTATTTATGCTGATGAATCAGTAGATCTAACACTCCTATCTAACACGAGTTAGATTGGAGTGAATGAAGACGAACAGTTTATGTGACCTGACGAACTGTTGGAGTGTGGGCAGGGTAATATTTTGTGAAGGGATTCAGGGAAACCAGTTAGCTGGACTTGAGTCCTGGAGGTGGGAAGTACAATGCTTGCACTTTAAAGGAGGGGTTTGGGATATTGGCTGTTTGGAGTGACATTTAAACTGTCATATCTGAGCAGCTCTGCAAAGACAGTAATTATGTATAAGTGATGGTGAATGTATTGAAAGATGAAAGTTTTTTTCTTTTTGCTTCACACTGCCTCAATGGGAAACGGCCGACGTGTTAAAAAAAAAAAATGCTTGTTTGGTGGAGATGTGTTGGGTGTCTTATTTCTTTGGTACAGTTTGGTTTGTAAATGTGGATTTGTATATCATTATTGTGCTTGATCACGAGATGTGCATATATTTAATCTTTCTTCGGTTATTTTTGAATTGAGTATTTTTAGGTATGGTATGAAAAGACTCCGTAACATGTTTTAGCAAACTAGCAGTTGGTGTATACAAACAAACTGTTTAATGATTGTCACCCCTTCCGTGTGGCAGTTTATAAGAGCATGAAATGATTAAGGGGACACTTACGCACGCTTGCTGGAAGTTCAAGCCCCTCGCACACTAAACCTCCTCTACCCCCTCACGCCAACTTGTCCTAGGCCGACTCCTACCCTGCCTTCCCTCCACTACAGATTTATACACACTCAGTCATTCTATTTTATTTCATCCTCACTACATGTCCAAACCACCTCAACAACCCCTCCTCAGCCCTCTGGATAATAGTTTTGGTAATCCCGCTCCTCCTCCTTATTTCCAAACTACAAATTTTCTGCATTATATTCACACCACACATTGCCCTCAGACATGACATCGTCACTGCCTCCAGCCTTCTACTTGTTGCAACATTCACCACCCATGTTTCACACCCATATAAGAGTGTTGGTATAACTATACTCTCATACATTCCCCTCTTTGCTTCCATGGACAAAGTTCTTTGTCTCCACAGACTCCTCAGAGCACCACTCGCCTTTTTCCCCCTCATCAATTCTATGATTCACCTCATCTTTCATAGACCCATCTGCTGATACGTCTACTCCTAAATATCTGAATACATTCACCTCCATGCTCTCTCCCTCCAATCTGATATCCAATCTTTCATTACCTATTTTTTTTTGTTATCCTCATCACCTTGCTCTTTCCTATATTCACGTTTAATTTTCTTCTTTTACATACTCTACCAAACTCATCCATTAACCTTTGCAACTTCTCTTCAGAATCTCCCAAAAGCACAGTGTCATCAGGATTGAGCAACTGCGGCAACTCCCACTTTGTTATATTCTTTATCTTTTAACACCACACAGTATCTAAATCACATAATACATGTACTTTGATACCTGATGCAGGGAGGAATTTGGCTGTTAGTTGTCTTAAACATGCGTCACCCATACTTTTGTGTCCTTGGTTGGATCATCAGTCTTTTGGCATTCTGTTACTTTGGCACTTCATCTTAAAAAAGTATACTTTTATAAGTTTTCAGACTGTGTTTTTAAGCCCATTTATACGATAAATCCTTAATAACTTTGAGGCTTCAGTGTCCATGCATTTGTAAATATTTTAATAATTTTTTTAATGTGCAAGTTGCAGTTTGTATTAAAATTTCCCTAACTTGTACATTGCTGCTGTTTGTGTTTTGCTGAATGAGGCTCCGAGCAGTCCCTTTGTAGAGGGATGTTTAGAGTCTCAACTTGCAAGGGAGAAACAGGCTTTCACTGTGTCTTCAGATTTGCTCATTCTTTTAACACAAAATTCAGTCATGGATCAATTTTGTGGTAAGGCATACACGTGCATTACCAGACCAGTAGTATTTCTAAGTCAATTTATTTTACCACTGGTTGAGTAGACTGTAGATTACTAAATAACAATGTTTTTCTTCAAAGTTTGACTAGTTCATTTCATCTTGTAAGTGAAAAAATAGTCTTGTTTATCCCTGTGTGTACCCTTGAATTAGCATACTGACCACTGTATGTAGGAAGTAGAATACATTCTTGTAAATGAAGGTTTCATTGCAGATGAAAAATTGGCCATGGGTGTACCCTCTCAGAAAGAAGGTAATATTTTTCAGTACCCATGCTTCATTCTTGTGCTTTTTTAATAAAGCTCTTTGATATAGGAAGTAGTGCTCCCTTTTTGATAAAATATTAGCAGCTTCTTGCCAACCATTCTACTCCAGAATTGTATTATTGTGGATTTCAGTGAAATAAATGACAAACTTGAATTCGGTGTATATGAACATTTAATCATCAGCTATATGGAGTAGAATTGGAGAGTGGCTTCCCTGTAACCATATCAGACTTAGGCTGTGGAAGGGCTTGGCTTTGGTTTCATGTCTAAAACATTTTGATTTTTTATATTAGCCAGATGGACTCTCCCAGCACAGTGCATGACCACTAATTTTGTTCGTATATATACTGTATTCACATGTAGGAATATAGAACTAAGTTCAGTTTATTCCTCGCAGAATCCTTGACATTAGTGTTTGTGGAAACCAAGAAAGGGGCAGATGCTCTTGAAGAGTTCTTGTATCGCCATGGTTACCCAGTCACAAGTATCCATGGAGATCGTAGCCAACGTGAGCGTGAGGATGCTCTCCGTGTTTTTCGCTCTGGCCAGTGTCCCATTCTGGTAGCCACTGCGGTAGGTAAACGTCATTTTGTGTAGCAGAAGCCCCATTTATATTTTGTCATTTCTTCCACAGTAATGCATTGGCTTCTTTTCTCCATGTCCTGACATGTCTATTTTATTACATCTGCAAGGAATATGTGGAAGTTTATTCCTATTTTCAGCTCTGTTAATATACTACATTTAAAACAATATAGGCTTCATTCACGTGTAATTATGTGACTTTGACAGGTAGTCTTCCATCTTTTTATCCTGTATCATAACTAATAACTTGTTTGGTATCCCACTTGAGGAAGTTTGGAGATTTAGAGTGGAGAAAAATAGAATGACTTGGAGGGTGTATAAATCTGTATTGTAGTGGAGGGAAGGTGGGGTACGGGTACTCCTAGAAAAGTTTGGAGGGGGGGATAATGGAGGTTTGGTATGTGAGGGGGCTTGGACATCTAACAGGCATATGTGTGCATGTTAGGACTGAGTAGAGGCTAGTGGTTTTAATGACTTTACTTATTGTTACAGTGTGAGCAAGGTAGCATTTATGAAGGAATTCAGGAAAGCTAGTTAGCCAGACTTGAGTCCTGAGGTGAAAACTACAAAGCTTGCTCTCTGAAGGAATAATGGAGTGAGTGTTTGTGAAAATAGTTCTTCTCTTTTTGGGTCACCCTACTTCAGTGGAAGACGCCTGGTGTGTTAAAAGAAGAAAAGTAATATATTTCCTGTTACTTAACTTCTTCAGATTGATCAGTAACCTTTCATGTGGCATCATATCAATTTTTCTTTTAGTAATGCAAAGGCCATCCATTTTTTTAGTAATGCAAAAGCCATCCATTTTTTTAGTAATGCAAAGGCCATCCATTTTTTTAGTAATGCAAAAGCCATCCATTTTTTTAGTAATACAAAGACCATCCATTTTTTTAGTAATACAAAGACCATCCATTTTTTTAGTAATGCAAAGGCCATCCATTTTTTTAGTAATACAAAGACCATCCATTTTTTTAGTAATACAAAGACCATTTTTTTAGTAATGCAAAGACCATCCATTTTTTTAGTAATGCAAAGGCCATCCATTTTTTTAGTAATACAAAAGCCATCCATTTTTTTAGTAATGCAAAGGCCATCCATTTTTTTAGTAATACAAAAGCCATCCATTTTTTTAGTAATACAAAAGCCATCCATTTTTTTAGTAATACAAAGGCCATCCATTTTTTTAGTAATACAAAAGCCATCCATTTTTTTAGTAATACAAAGGCCATCCATTTCCTCTTTGTGACCTCCCTCTCCCTGATGTCTTTCAAGGTTCATAAGGTGCAAGTTTCCATTCCTGGATGAATATTAGCCCTTTCACTGGCTCCCATATATACTTTATTGATGCCGGTGTTTATTACGTAGATCCACATTTTGGGCACAGTGTCCTCAAATAGGCTGTGAGCAGTAAATTTTCACCTTAGATATGAGAGGATGGATCTGTGATATGGATGTGCACAGTATAAAAAAAAAAATCCTGCCCTGTGCAGTGCTTAATTGGAAGAGAAAACCCTGACCATGTGTTTGGTTTAAAACAACAACTTTGAGGTGTTTTCTAGATAGATTTTAAGGTTTCAGTGGGATTTTTTGGGGATCATTTGATAGACTGGTAGACATACTAGTGAAGCAGAAGTTATTTTGGTTGGTTTCAGTCAATAAGGTAGGTTGAAATAGGCCTCAAAGTGGCAGAAATATTTGATTTTTGGAGATTTTTTTCTGGGGAAGGGTAGGGCCCCTTAGTCTGTTTTATGGGTAACAAATAACAAAAAAAGACACAATACCGTGACTGGAAAGATGCTCGGGTGTTGCGCATGTGTCTTAATCTCATCTTGTCGGTATTATATACCATTCTAGTACTACTACTACCACCACTTCTTCCTGCCTATATATAGCCGTCCTGCTCCACTTCTGGTTAGTGTGACTTTGTAAATGGTCCAAGTCGGGCCGAAACGTCATCGTAAATTTCTCTCTTTTATATGCGGGTTATTTGTGTATCTATTTTATGGGTCTTGACTAGGCCGTCCTGCTTCATTTCTTTGTACTGCCTAAACCATAACCAAATATCCTTGGGTTTTGTTGTGTTATCTGAGAAATAGGGTAAAACTTTGTTGTTTTGTGTGTGTGATGGATTTAAAAGGGAAGGCAGTTGTTAGAAAGGAGATGTGATTAATGCCAGTGGACAGTTGCTGGAATATCTACAGTATTTATTTTAGACTTTTTTAAATTGGAATTTGTTGAATTTTGTGTAAAATATACCAGATTAACAACTGTCACTTTGTAGGGTAGTTTTGATAGTTGAATGGTCATTTTCTTTCTCTCAGTCAGTAGAATGGAAGGCATACTAGTGAAATAGCCAGGAATTTGAATTGTGCAATGAAATTGGCTCAAAATAAGACTCATGGGCAAAATCACCAATGCCTAAATTGGTCCTGCCAACTTAGCCCCTACGTAATTCCATAAGTTTTTCATCAAATTTTGTGCTTTCAGTGTTAACACCATCAGAAAAATTTTCTTTACCATTTTGGAAGTTTTTGTTTATGTATTGTGACACTATCGGCACTTAATTCCCAGAGTTACTTTTTTATTTATTAACACATTGGCCAATTTCCACCAAGACAGGGTGGCCCAAAAAGGAAAAACTCCGAGTTATGACAGTGAAAAGATTAATGTTTCACGAGAGATTTTATGCTTTCTAAATATTCAACAGTTCTTTTTCTTGTAATTTTGTTCAATAATTTGCATTCTCATTTTGTTACTTTTATTGGTCTTTATTTTTTACAACATTGCTGCCTTCCACTCATGGCAATTTAATTGCCATTAATAACAAAAAAAGGCACAATACCGTGACTTTGTAAATGGTCCAAGTCGGACCGAAACGTCGTTGTAAGCTTCTCTCTTTTATGTGCGGGTTATTTGTGTATTAATTTCCATTAATGAGTTATTAAAATCCTGGACTATTTATTTTTCATTTCACCACTTGATAGCATTATGCTGACGTTGATTATTGAGAAGCAAATCTTTGGTAGTTCTTTTGGTAAATGTACTGATTTTGCATCAGTATTTATCTGCTGTGCCCCAGTGTGTTATACCTGACATACTTGTAGAATTAGTGTGAGGGGAGAGATCAGTTGCATTCTTTTAAATAGGCTTTACTTTTTGCTTCAACAACAATGAAGGTAAAAAATAGTGAATACAGAGAATCAGAAAACATGGAGGGACTTGAAAACCCATTCATGATAGTGACAAACAGTAAGGCTTCGCAAGTTTTGCCTGTTTCACGATGTTACATTTTTCAGGTTGCAGCTCGTGGCTTGGACATTCCCCATGTTAAACATGTCATCAATTTTGACCTTCCATCTGACATAGAAGAATATGTTCACCGTATTGGTCGTACTGGTCGTATGGGCAACCTTGGTGAGTGAGTGTATTCTTTTAGCAAGTTTGCTGGGGTACTGCTATACCAGTATCCCTTATTTGTATACACCTACCATCCGACTTACAACCTGCTCAACTTACGACCACTCGACTTACGACCGTGTTTTTTATGCCAAATTTCTGGGAAATAAACAACTATTTGTGTTGTACACAGTGTTTATCCTAAACCTTACAGTATAAAATACAGTACTAACAACATAAAAAGTAAAGTAAAACATGAAATACCAAAATAAAACAATAAAATAAAGTCATTACAAAAATGTTTTGTTGATATTCAGTAGTAAAGTTCGACTTACGACCGGTTTCTCGGAACCGAACTCTGTCGTAAGTCGGATGGTAGGTGTATTTGAAGCTGCTGCTCTCTTATCAAACGTGGTTACCTCAGTGTCCCCATTACCCAGGCACTGCATGAGCCCCAGCAGGTTTCATGCTACTCCATGACTATAATACAGTGGACCCCCGGTATTCGATAAATCCGGTTTTCGATGCATTTTAACGCAAAAAATTTTCCTCGGTATTCGATTGAAAACCCGGTATTCGATACGATTCATACGAGACCTGTCCACGTGTGGCCTGAACTGCTCCGTGTGTGCTAGTGTTTACAAGCCAGCCAGTGTGCGCACATCTAAGGATACATTCGGTACATTCCATATTATCACTGTGTTTGGTGCTTGTTTCTGCAAAATAAGTCACCATGGGCCCCAAGAAAGCTTCTAGTGCCAACCCTTCGAGAAAAAAGTCGTTAATGACTTATGAAATGAAGAAAGAGATAATTGCAAAGTATGAAAGTGGAGTGCATGTGTCGGAGCTGGTCAGGTTGTATAATAAACCCCAATCAACCATCTCTACTATAGTGACCAGGAAAACAGCAATCAAGGAAGCTGTTCTTGCAAAAGGTGCAACTGTGATTACGAAACAGCGACCGCAAGTGTTAGAAAATGTTGAGAGATTGTTACTGGTGTGGATAAATGAAAAACAGATAGCAGGAGATAGCATCTCTCAAGCGATCATTTGTGAAAAGGCTAGGCAGTTGCATGACGATTTGGTAAAGAAATTGCCTGCAACTAGTGGTGATGTGAGTGAATTTAAGGCCAGCAAAGGTTGGTTTGAAAGATTTAAGAATCGTAGTGGCATACATAGTGTGATTAGGCATGGTGAGGCTGCCAGTTATGTTGTGCGACAGAGGTCCAGTGACTCTCACGCTGGTCCTAGTGGCATTAAAAGAAGAAGGGAAGTAACCCTGGAAAAGGACTTGCTACCTCAAGTCCTAATGGAAGGGGATTCCCCTTCGAAACACTAACACCTCTCCCCTCCTCCCATCCCATCAATCATCACCAGATCTTCATTAAAGGTAAGTGTCAATTATTTTATTGTTATTGTAATTATTCTATTGCATTAAACTTAATATTTCATGTAGTAAAAATTTTTTTTTCATGCTTTTGGGTGTCTTGCACGGATTAATTTAATTTCCATTATTTCTTATGAGGAAAATTGATTCGGTTTTCGATATTATCGGTATTCGCTGAACTCTCAGGAATGGATTAATATCGAATACCGGGGATCCACTGTAATGTGGAGTAAAAATCTTGGTCCTTATGCCTACTGAACCAGACTGTCAGTCTTACACTGAACAAAAATATAATACAGTAAATGCAAAAACAGTGATAATGTGTGAGTGAGGTGAAAGTGTTGAATGATGATGAAAGTATTTTCTTTTTGGGGATTTTCTTTCTTTTTTGGGTCACCCTGCCTCAGTGGGAGACGACCGACTTGTTGAAAAAAAAAAAAATTGTAAAATATTTGTTTATTTTTGCATGGGTATTAATGTTTTCACATTAAACACAAACTTTGATTATAAAGTTAAAAAAATTCATTGTGGTGGTCTGTGAAGCAAGGTAACAAAATCAGTGCAACACTCTCCATTGATGTGCCTCCTGGCATGATCCCACCATGAATCTGCTTGACTTTAGCCATTGTTTAATATTGATAATGAAATGAAAGCAGTGATTTCATACATTGGAATGGGAGCAAGACTATCAAGTGGAGGGATACCTCCGAGGTGGGTATGGAGGAACTGGGTTAGGCTACTAAATGGCTTGAAGCAGTCAAGATTAATGTGACTGTTACATTGAAAACAAGTAAGAAAATAGTTTTTGGATTGGTTGGTGCCTTTTTTTTTTTTCTAATATGCCTGGATAGTCCTTTTCACATCAGTAATTGTTGCTTTAGAAGTATTTGACTGCTAATTTTTTTTCTTATTTTATCTAGGTCTTGCCACAAGCTTCTTCAATGATAAAAACCGTAATATGGTTCGAGACTTGGTAGAGCTGTTGCAGGAAGCGAAGCAAGAGTTGCCCAAGTGGCTGGAGGCCATTGCATCAGAGACACGCTGGGGGGGTGGTGGCGGTGGAAGAGGGCGCAGTGGGGGAAAGAGATTTGGTGGTGGATTTGGCTCTCGTGATTACCGTCAAGCTGATCGCAGCAAGGGTCCCCACACTTCAGGTCCTGCACGTCCTGGTGGAACTTTCAACAACTTCGGGGGAGGTTGGTAACTGCCAAAAAATGTAGTTGTGCTCTTCACTGTACGTACTACTGTGTACACTACTCTTTGTGTGTGTGTGTGTTTGTGTGTGTGTGTTTGTGTGTGTGTGTTTGTGTGTGTGTGTTTGTGTGTGTGTGTTTGTGTGTGTGTGTTTGTTTTAAAAGTTTCTTTTCATCATTAGTGTACTGCAGCCCATGAATATATTCTGTACTCTGGAAAATATGATTAAACCTGTACACCCTTTTCAAGGCTAATGCTGCTTGTAATTTCATTTTATTTTCCTCATTGCTACTGAGCATTAGTCTAAGAAAATATTAACTTCGCAGTTGTTAGGCAAATGGACACACACGCAGCTAATGTGACATTTTATTATGGCAAAGTTTCACTCCTGGAGAGTGAAACTGCCACAATAAAATGTCACATTAGTTGTGTGTGTCCATTTATATAACATTTTGTCAGTAATTTTACCATTATTACTAATTTCATAGTTAAAAGGTAGTATAGTTTTTAGTAAGGAAATTAGTGAAAGTCCCATGTTATGCTTTGTATCTTTGTCACCAATAATATTTGTGCAAGATGGTAAGGAGGAACAAGGCTTACTTTCTTGCAGTCTTGCTGGCAGAGTAGTAGTAGTTATCACACAATATTTTATTCAAAGAATCACTTTTGGTTTGATTGTAAAAATGCTCCTCATAGAGGAAAACCCATACAAGTTTAGTGCATGTTTTTATATAATTGCAGTAAGCCGCTCTTCACATACTATGGCCATTATGATAAGGGTTTAACACTTTAAAATACTAGTATTAATAGTTAACTTTTTTAACATGTTGGCCATCCCCCACCAAGACAGTGACCCAAAAAAGAAACACTTTCACTATCTTTCACACATAATTACTGTCTTTGCAGAGGTGCCCGAATAGGACAGTTTAGATGACAATCCAAACAGCCAGTATCCCAAACCCCTCCTTTAAAGTGCAGACATTGTTCTTCCCACCTCCAGGACTCAGTCCAGCTAACCGGTTTCCCTGAATCCCTTCACAAATTATTACCCTGCCCACACTCAACGGCTTATCAGGTTCCAAAAACCATTCATCTTTATTCACTCATATTAACATGCTTACACAAGCACCTACCCTTGGTTAATCTTTCCTTACACTTGCTCATTTGCAGTTCCTGGTTTTCATTTAGTGTGTTTTTTTAATTTTCAAAAAAATAATTGGGTAGTTTAAATAGTTAGTTCTGAGTATATTGCAATAAGGAGTTTTGGGAAGACACTTCTTCTACATGGTAATATTTAGTTAATTTTACAGCACCGCCACACTTCAATAATTACGAGAGCTACGGCTTCAGTGGAAGTGGCTTCAACAGTTACAGCCCTTCAGGGGCCTCGGGAACAGACTGGTGGGGAAAATGAACTCCAGCAGCAGAGACTCCGGCACCGTGCCACGTTGTGCAACACTTGTTAAATCTGGGACTATACCATTAGTGGAAGTGCAGTGTTTGCTTTTTCTTTTAGTTTAGATGGGTGGTGTAAACCCTTGGTAGTATATAAGGTCACTTCTGTAATGGCACAAACTGTTTGTTGATTAGTGGTTTCCCTATAATGACAAGTGTGAGTGATCAGTCCTAAAATGGAGTGATGCTTGAAAAAAAAGATATTACAACTGTTTACTTGGAAAAAAACTGTTCCCAGAATTGTGTATTGCTTCATACTTGTACCCAGTAACAAGTGACCACAAAGTGGCATAGAAAAAAAATGTTTTAGCAGCAGTCAAACTTTTAAAAGTGTTATCATTATCAAAGCCCTGCTGTCTGAAGATGTGGCATGTGTCACCTTAATGCGGGGTTCTCTTTTAAACTTGAAATTTTCTTGTGTCACAAGCTTGAAACTTTTCTCTGAATATGTTGACCTTAGACTGAAGGCTCACTTGTCTTGATGTTTACCGCCTGCAAGTCTGCATCACAACCCAAATATTGACGTTACTTAGAGAGGAAACTTGAACTTTTCTCATGCTTCTTTGTGTGATAATTAGCAGTCAAGAGGAGGGGTTGAATAGTAATAATGCAGCCCCATCTCTGAACCTTTAGCATGGGTTTAAGTACCATGTTCCACTGTGTAGCACTGAAAATGTAGACCCTTTTTTTGATTATAAGTATGTATGATGCAGAAACTGAGGTCAATTGTGAACATATTTTATCCCTAAAATACCCCAAATGTCAAGGTTGGGCTGCTGTTAACTTTTGTGTCTAATATATATTGTAGCGGTGGTGTTGCCGGGCGAAGAAAAGTGAACTAATGCCTCGGCCAAATTTATAGCGGAGGGACAGTTATGTAGTATGTTAACATCACTGGAACGCCCGGGCAACAGCAGCGTGCACTGTTGCATTCATTAAGGTATTATAATTATAGAATTCTGTAGCATGGCTTTTGGGGAGTTTAATTGATCATTTGATATTTTGCCGTCCCTTTTGATTGTAGCATTGAACGAGCCTCTGGAGCAGCTGTGAATGCAGTTATTTCAGATTTACTTCTTGTTGCTCAGAAGAAACTTTAAAACTTTATAACTTGTCCGGAATACATTTGGAGTGGATCCAAGTGAGTTATGTTTTAAATACTTAAAAGGATTGAATCCTTATGAGGCTCAGTATGGAGATGTGTCTTTGTCTCTCCTCCTGGATTTTGAAGACCCACCATAACTTTTTTTTTTAATTTATATATACATATATATTTTTTTTTACTTAAGTTCGGTTGGACTTGGGTGCTGGTTACAGCATCCACTACACAGTAGCGGCCGACGCCGCAACACATGGCCGCAGCATCACTCAAGCCTGGTCTCCTGAAGGCAGTGGCTAGCATGTTGCAGTAATGATCCATCCCTGAGTCATACAAATAACTTGACTAATCTCAGGGTATAGGCCTACCCAGTGTTCGACAAACGTGTTCCTGTCTAGTAATGTTACAAACTGGGCAGGGAGACATTGCTGATCAGCTACCAGCAGTGTATTGATGCATCTCAAGTAGAATTGCTGTGGCACATTGCAGCCTTCTTAGATATTAAGTCAAACTACCTGTAAATTATGAGAAGGCCGTGTGTGCCTGGTCTCACTTTGGCGAACACTGCCATTATTACTGTGATATTGTTTGATGCCCGTTATATAGCGGGATAGGGTGCGGGGCCAGGTTTGGGTTGTGGCAGAGAACGCCCCCGGCAGAGGGCTGCCAGCTCTTCCCTGGCATAAGCTAGCAGGGTTGCAGCGAGTTCTGATGATAGTGAGACAGAGGTACAGCCCACATTCCACTTTTATCATGATCCTCCACAAATGTTTATATAGTTATACCTGTAATCTCAGTCATAGTCTGAGTATTGCCAAAGATTGTTAGTTTGTATGTTCATGTACAAATGTTGTCTTTATTTAGTAATCCATATTTGTTATTGTAGATGCTGACATAAGCAGTCCTGCTTATGCTCACCTCAGACTAACTCTAGTCGGTGATGGCGCGCTGTTCCTCGTAGTAAACAGGCAGGAGTGTGTGTGAGTGAGTTAAAAGAATTTGGCTCCTGGTTCCCAGTGAACAAAACTATTTGCCCATAGATCTGAGTATTTGGGCATTTCTCATGTTGATATCTCATCAGCTGCTTGTAACTTGTTGGTGCTAGATTTTAATATTATGTCCAGGAGCTTTGATCAGGTACAAAGTTCATAGCACAATGATCTGTCATGGAGAGATTGTGTTAAAAATAATCGGGTGTTTTAATGTAAACACTGCTCCTGCAGTGGGATGCTGCTGCGTTAGCTAGTATATTTAAACAATAAAATTGTGCAAAATTGAAATTTTAGTGGTACAATAATTTATAGTAATGTACAGATTATGCATTTTATGTACTGGCTTGTGTGGGATAGCCAAACAAAGAATATAGAATTTTTCAGATTATATATAGTCAATGTACCAACATTATTTGATGCCTGGAGCATCAGGAATGCTTTATAATCATCTAAGTAACACTTACGGCATGTGGAGATACACCAGCGACCCACGTAGGGGTTGCTGGGAAGGGGGGGGGGGATGCCATTCACCACTGCTGCTACACTTGACCAAGACAAAATACACTAAATAGCAACGTGAAAAGTAATCAGTGATGTGCGATACATTAAAAGTAATGTTACATTCTTAAATATATGCAGCATGGAGAGAATCAGTGATGTGTGAAACATACCAGCATGGTAGCTACAAGGAGGATGGACAGTGATATGGTACATTAGAAGCAATGTGTTGTGGGTGGGTTGTAAGCAGTGGTGAGAGGCTCCAGGGATCATCTTTCCACCAAGGAAGAGCAATGTCATCTTCCGGGCCCTGCGAGAGCTTCAGATAAGCTCTTCCGGGAGGTCAGGAAGGGGTCCTCAACATTTCCCATGGAAAGAAAGTGTACCTAATATTGGGGAAATATACGGGGGGTCTCTGCGCCAAATATTGTGTAGATAAAATGTATCGTCTTTTTATACAAGATTACAAGCTATTTTTTATTTCTCTCATTTCTAGAGATTTAAGGAGAGATCTCACATTGATAGGGATGGCAAATTGAAGTCTACTACTATTATATTCACTCTGGCATTTAGATCATTTATGAAACTAGAGAATGTACTCAAGCTTTCTTAAAATATAATAAAAACAGCAAAATATTTCATCTTGGTTTGAATTCTTTCCATTTATAAACTTCAGAAACTTTTATATTATTTTTTTTTTAACAACCCAGCCATATCCCACCAAGGCAGGGTGACCTAAAAAGAAGAAAAAGTTTTTTAAATTCAGTAATGTATACAAGAGAAAGGGTTACTAACCCCTTGCTCCTGGCATTTTAGTCGCCTCTGACGACACTCGTGACATATGGAGGAAGAATTCTGTTACACTGCCCCATGGAGATAATTATGGAGATTATTATTATGTACAGGCCTTTAAGAGGATGAGGGCTTTGTTCCAGGAGACAGGGTTATGAGACAAGTAATTAGTTAATCAACTCCTACCTTGGATCAAACCTTATTACCTCTTGTTTAGAGCTTACCCATAAATACACCTACCATCCAACTTGCGACCTGCTCGACTTACGACCACTCGACTTACGACTATGTCTTTTATGCCAAATTTCTGGGAAATAAACAACTATTTGTGTTGTACACAGTGTTTATCCTAAACCTTACAGTATAAAATACAGTACTAACAGCATAAAAAGTAAAGTAAAACATGAAATACCAAAATAAAACAATAAAATAAAGTCATTACAAAAATGTGATGTTGATATTCAGTAATAAAGTTTGACTTACGACCATTTCGACTTACGACCGGTTTCTTGGAACTGAAATCGATCGTAAGTCGGATGGTAGGTGTATATGCAACAGACTTGTAATTAGTCTGTTCCCTTTTTGCTAATGTAGAGCTCTTGATCCAAGGAACTAGAATTACCCTCCACTTGGCTACAGGCATTGTATGAGTTAGCTCTTCTAATTATAATTACCTTGATGCTAGTGATGACTTAATCTGAGAAATTACTCTCCCTTCCTTGGATCAAACCTATTTCACAGGCTCTGTATAGCCCTTGTGACTTAGTGCTTCTTTTTGATTATAATCTGTATAGCCATTATGGGTTTAGTGCTTTCCATAACCTTGGTACCAATAAGGGGCTCTTGATCCAGGTAAATGGACTTGTCCCTTGGACAGAACCTGATTGCCCATCACATCCGAGGTGCTGCGTATTATCTTGACAGGTTTAATGCTTTTACCCAGTTAAAATAGTGCTTTTTAAGAAATATACTAATAATAATTACCTAATGTAATCAGATAATAATATAATTATTTCTACAAGTACATGTACAAGGTATACAGACCATAGCTGACATAAATGACATGCTACTGTATAGAGAGCCGCTTGTTATGCTGAGCTGTATAGTCCTTGTGGCTTAGCGCTTCTTTTTGATTATAATAATAATTGTTATGCTGAGCATTTCCTGCAAATTAGGTCAGTTTTGTCCCAGGATGCGACTAACACCAAGGTACCCATTTTATTGATAGATGAACAAAGACAACTGGTGTAAGGAAACACACCCAATGTTTATGGACTACTACTGTACAGTAGTGCCCCACTTATACATCAGGTTAGGTTTTGGGCTGTGGCTTAGCGCTTCTTTTTGATTATAATAATAATAATAATAGGTTTTGGGCTACTACTGTACAGTAGTGCCCCACTTATACATCAGGTTAGGTTCTGGGCTACTACTGTACAGTAGTGCCCCACTTATACATCAGGTTAGGTTCTGGGCTACTACTGTATAGTAGTGCCCCACTTATACATCAGGTTAGGTTCTGGGCTACTACTGTACAGTAGTGCCCCACTTATACATCAGGTTAGGTTCTGGGCTACTACTGTACAGTAGTGCCCCACTTATACATCAGGTTAGGTTCTGGGCTACTACTGTACAGTAGTGCCCCACTTACACATCAGGTTAGGTTCTGGGCTACTACTGTACAGTAGTGCCCCACTTATACATCAGGTTAGGTTCTGGGCTACTACTGTACAGTAGTGCCCCACTTATACATCAGGTTAGGTTCTGGGCTACTACTGTACAGTAGTGCCCCACTTATACATCAGGTTAGGTTCTGGACTACTACTGTACAGTAGTGCCCCACTTATACATCAGGTTCTGGGCTACTACTGTACAGTAGTGCCCCACTTATACATCAGGTTAGGTTCTGGGCTACTACTGTACAGTAGTGCCCCACTTATACATCAGGTTAGGTTCTGGGCTACTACTGTACAGTAGTGCCCCACTTATACATCAGGTTAGGTTTTGGGCTACTACTGTACAGTAGTGCCCCACTTATACATCAGGTTAGGTTCTGGGCTACTACTGTACAGTAGTGCCCCACTTATACATCAGGTTAGGTTCTGGGCTACTACTGTACAGTAGTGCCCCACTTATACATCAGGTTAGGTTTTGGGCTACTACTGTACAGTAGTGCCCCACTTATACATCAGGTTAGGTTCTGGGCTACTACTGTACAGTAGTGCCCCACTTATACATCAGGTTAGGTTCTGGACTACTACTGTACAGTAGTGCCCCACTTATACATCAGGTTATGTTCTGGGCTACTACTGTACAGTAGTGCCCCACTTATACATCAGGTTAGGTTCTGGGCTACTACTGTACAGTAGTGCCCCACTTATACATCAGGTTATGTTCTGGGCTACTACTGTACAGTAGTGCCCCACTTATACATCAGGTTAGGTTCTGGACTACTACTGTACAGTAGTGCCCCACTTATACATCAGGTTAGGTTCTGGGCTACTACTGTACAGTAGTGCCCCACTTATACATCAGGTTAGGTTCTGGGCTACTACTGTACAGTAGTGCCCCACTTATACATCAGGTTAGGTTCTGGACTACTACTGTACAGTAGTGCCCCACTTATACATCAGGTTAGGTTCTGGGCTACTACTGTACAGTAGTGCCCCACTTATACATCAGGTTAGGTTCTGGGCTACTACTGTACAGTAGTGCCCCACTTATACATCAGGTTATGTTCTGGGCTACTACTGTACAGTAGTGCCCCACTTATACATCAGGTTAGGTTCTGGACTACTACTGTACAGTAGTGCCCCACTTATACATCAGGTTAGGTTCTGGGCTACTACTGTACAGTAGTGCCCCACTTATACATCAGGTTAGGTTCTGGGCTACTACTGTACAGTAGTGCCCCACTTATACATCAGGTTAGGTTCTGGACTACTACTGTACAGTAGTGCCCCACTTATACATCTGGTTAGGTTCTGGGCTACTACTGTACAGTAGTGCCCCACTTATACATCAGGTTAGGTTCTGGGCTACTACTGTACAGTAGTGCCCCACTTATACATCAGGTTAGGTTCTGGACTACTACTGTACAGTAGTGCCCCACTTATACATCAGGTTAGGTTCTGGGCTACTACTGTACAGTAGTGCCCCACTTATACATCAGGTTAGGTTCTGGGCTACTACTGTACAGTAGTGCCCCACTTATACATCAGGTTAGGTTCTGGACTACTACTGTACAGTAGTGCCCCACTTATACATCAGGTTAGGTTCTGGACTACTACTGTACAGTAGTGCCCCACTTATACATCAGGTTAGGTTCTGGGCTACTACTGTACAGTAGTGCCCCACTTATACATCAGGTTAGGTTCTGGGCTACTACTGTACAGTAGTGCCCCACTTATACATCAGGTTAGGTTCTGGGCTACTACTGTACAGTAGTGCCCCACTTATACATCAGGTTAGGTTCTGGACTACTGCTGTATATATGTGGTTAAAGTGCTCTGAAAATTACTACTACTATTACATTATGGGTCCAAGAACTGGACTCCAACATTTTTGATAGGCAAGAAGGTTGCAGTGAAAATAAACTATTTATATACGGTATACAGTGGACCCCCGCTTAACGATCACCTCCCAATGCGACCAATTATGTAAGTGCATTTGTACGTGTATGTTTGGGGGTCTGAAATGGACTAATCTAACTCACAATATTTCTTATGGGAACAAATTCGGTCAGTACTGGCACCTGAACATACTTCTGGAGTGAAAAAATATCGTTAACTGGGGGTCCACTGTATTAATTGTCTGCAGTTTTAAATTGTCGAAAAATATGTTGTAGATTGCATGTTGTTACGAGTTATTTACAATACTCAGATGTGTAGCTAGTCAGTTTTACAGTATTTAGTTATAGCAATTATTTACACTAGGCAACCCCTGAAGGAAGGTTCCTTGACACTGGTGAGAGGCTCTTGATCTAGGAAATTGGATCTGTGCTCCAGTTCCCTGAATTAAGCCTGAATACCTTCCACATCCCCCCACAGGCACTGTATAATCCTACAGGTTTAGCTCTCCCCTTAGATTGTAATACACTAGGCAAAGTACGGGTATTTTTTCAGAATTATTAGTAATATGCCACTATGGATAAAATAATTATTTTCATGTACATTTATGAGCAAGTTTTCTTTGAATTCATGATTTTTTTTATGGAGAATGTAAGAGCTTGGGTTGTGATAATGGTTTTTCCTGCAAAGATTACAATTAATTTACATCAAATGGTAGTGCAAACTCTTGGAAGTACCTGAAACTTACCTGGAGTAAACCTGGAAAGGGTTTTGGGGGTCAACTTCCCTGTGGCCTGGGCTGAGACCAGGCAGCAGCGATGTCCAAGAATATGCTGATTCTCTTGAATGTGCCATTGATCTGTAATTCTTCCTGTATGACCACAGAGGCAGACCTGAAGAGCAATATTGACACTGGGATGGCTGAGAGAATTTGAATCGCAGCAATGAGAAAAGTAGCGGACTGTCCAAAGAATGCTTCAACAAAGCCAGGAAGGATGATGAACCTGCCTCACCTGTGTGTGATGGTACTAATAAAAATAGTGATAGGCAAATGACAGGTATAAACCTGTCAAAAAATCAATGACAGTGGATGGCCCAAGGTTGTAATCTGCTCCATCTTTGTCAATTCATCAGTTCTGTTATGCCTTCGAAGGTTAGTGTGAAATGGAATTCACAAAAGGTACACACTGACTCTACTGTCAACAGTTCTACCATACCTGTCTTAACTAAAGTGTCCCTCAAGGAAGGTTCCTTGATGCTGGTGAAGAGCTCTTGATC